ATTTTGGCCTAGTGTGACTCAATAAGGTTTTCCATACTTATATAGAATGTTCTTCATAATATGGGTGTGTGTGACTTTATTGCGTTATCCTTACTTATATTTAATGTTCCATATACTGTGGCCATGTGTGACTCAAATAGGTTTCCCTTACTAAAATATTATGTTCCATTTATTGTGGTTATGTGTGACTCAAATGGGTTACCAACACATATATTTTAAGTTGCATATGCTGTGGCCATATGTGATTTTAATAGGCTACCCTTACTTATATGCTCCATATACTGTGGCCATGTGTGACTCAAATAGGGTTCCCTTACTTGTATATGATGTTTTATATTTTAAATTTCGTTTGCTGTGTCCATTTGTGACTCTTATAGGTTACCAAGCAGATTAATTTGAAGTTTTATTTACGGTGGTCATGTGTGATTTTAACAGGCTACCCTTACCCATATTTTAAGTTTTATATACTGTACCCATTATGACTGTAACAGTATAGTATAGTCATGGATTAACTAAATAAAATACCCATTGGGTATTTAAAAGTCCAATTTATGAAAATAACGTTTTTAAGCCCCCGATGATATTTTCAGGGAAGAAAATTGTTTTGGCAATTTAGTGGTCATTAGCCTCGACGTGACCTATGGAAATTAGTCGCTCCCATCTTGTTGCCCGAAAATATCCGAATGAACCCAACATAATTGTGGTATTACACAACAGTTTGTGTTCACTATTGAACATAATGACCTCTGCACCGAACAGTATATCATCTGAACTTAACATAATGATAGTACCAAAAAACCACTGAACATAACGACCTTTGCATTGAACAACACATTGACTTGACTGAAGAAGATATAATCAGCACACAAGATAATGATAGTACCATTTAAGATAATGATTGTACCATTTAACTGTTCTATTTCACGACTGAACAGAAGGAATAAAGCACCCAACAGCATGTCATTGCAACGGAAAATAATAAAAGTATCACCCAATAATACACTGCCTCAGCCAAACAAAATGATAGTACCACTCAACTGTTTATTTTCAAGGTTGAACATGATGAGAAAAGCACCAAACAGCATATTATTATAACCGAACATAATAACTGTAACACCCTACAACATATCTTTTTAACTCAACATAATTGTGTTACCACATGCCTGTTTGTTTTAAGAACTGAACATAACGACTTATGCACCCGACAATACATTGACTTGACTGAATAAAATACAGTCAGCACACAACATAGCACTTCAATAACTGAGCAAATTAGGATTTCCACCCAGCATTTTGTATCTCGGACTCAACAGAAAGACATTTAACCGGGTATATCTTTCATTCTTAACATAAGACAGTCCAGGCGTTCCATAAAAGACCTTTTCCATAGAAAGACTTTATCGTTAAAATAAGTATTTTAACTAAGTACATTATGAACGGAGAGTGGGTCGAAAATAACAACTTGTCATGTGCTAGAATTCTTTTAATTAACTTTTTTTTTAATTTTTGGATACTAGCACAGTTCTTTGCGTAATTTATGCCATTCAAAGCCCTAATCGTAAAATACCGGATCTTCAGAGCATGTGTTTACTAATTTAGTGGTTGCATACCTATTTTCCCCGGTAAGTGGAACGTAAACAAACACTTTTTCCATTTTTTCTGGTTTTTATTTGTTTGGGTCGTCAGACCAAACAAATAATGGTAGCGAAATTTCAGAGTCTAATGTTGCTAATTGCAAATGCCGAAAGTAGTCCAATTTTTTGGAGCGGTTACTTCCCTTTTGTATGTACACTAAAGCCGAAAAATTCAGGGGAGATCACTGCGTAAAGATGGTCAAAGACAGGCGCATCAATTTTCAAGCAAAGTAATTCCCGAATGGTCAAAGATTTCTAATATTGTTTTATTGTATTTTCTGATCGAAAATAACTAAATACAAAGCGGACATTCAATCTCTGACACAGAAGTTTACTACAAACCTAACAACAAGTAGTTCTCAAAACAGCTAAAAACTAGCGATTTAAAAGAAAGAAATATTTTTATTTTGTTACAAGTATCCAACAAATTACAACGCATTTAAAGTTAAACAATAGCGTTGGCTTATAGAATTGTCAATAAATGCACAATCACAAATTACGCGGATGAATATGATTTTATCAATGAAAATACTAATTTTTAGCCATGTTGATTACCGAATACTACACAAACCGAGTAGTGGAATATATAGATTCTACATGCCGGACCGTTTGGGCGAGAGGATTTTTGCTAAAATATCTACTTCAATTATTAACAACAGGTTTAGCCTAAAACAAAATACCTCGAAATTAATAAGGATTACAAACCCGAACTGCAATGGAAGTTCCAAATTTAGAATGATTTGATATTATTCAGACACACTGTGTATAACTTTTCCGTGGTACAAGGGTAACGCGCTCGCCTCGTGAGTGAGAGGTTTCGAGTTCGTATTCAAGTCGAGAAAACTTTTTTTTTTGGTTAAATTCTTTTTTTTAAGTGTTTTTTGTTAAGGAAGTAGCCATGATATACAAAGATAAAGTGTGGCTGTCGTAAAAAAAGGACATAAATGATTTTTTGATGCAACTCTAAGTTATGCAGAATTACGGATGTATCAAACTCTGGTGCCTTACAAAAGGAATTATAATACATAAAAATAAACTTATACAGGAAAATGCATACAGATATAACAGTACGATTGCAAAGATCAGAAAATAACCACAGAACTTTGCAGCCGTTTGATTCTTTATAAATATACATGCTTATAGTAAGCTCCAGGATTATTTACATCTGTGTTAAACAACAGTTAAAGTCGTTACAAAGCCCTAATTTAGAATAATATGGTTTTCTTCAGGCCGTTCAACATATAAAATTCACCGTGGCTGAAGGGTTTTCGGGCTCGCTTAGGAAGCGAGAGGTCTGGAGTTCAAATCCCAGTAAAGGTTACTCATTTTTTTAAATTGTTAAAGTCAAATAAACATTGGATTGAATATCAGTGTTGCAATTAGTCTAATAGCCAATTTACTACAATTAAAACGCTGGAAAGCATTGGTGGCACTAAACATGTAATCTCACAACCTGCACCTTTCTTACATTCTGAGACCCAAACAAATTCAGCGCCTTCTGTGCTTTGATTAGATTGTCTTTTAAGTAATCACTATTTAAATGATAATTAGATAAGATTGTGAACAATTGGTTTTGTTACCATTATTGTGTATACCACATACAATCACACTTTATGTAAAATATCACAATAATTTGTCATCAAAATTATTCGAACCAGACACAATTCGCAGCCTTAATTCGATATGATTTTTAATAACTTCTTGAGTTTTGTTATGCCTACATGGACTGCACTTTGTGTATATTTGCACACAGTGTTAAAGTTACTTACTTTTTAGCTCTAGTTATATGCTTATTAAAGAACCAGTGAGGCACATTTCTTCATTCTTTATGGAAAAGTACATGTCCATATTGTACTTAATTGTGAGTAGTATGTGAGACCCATGAACTCTTTTGTATTGCTATTATTATAAGTAGTAGTATTATTATTTGAGTGATTGTTCTTGTGCTTTTATACAAACTGTTGTATCTACTAAAAACTTTGTGAAAACGAATCTTTATTCAGGAGGGGGGATATTTTTGTTTAGGATGAAAATGCCTCCAACCTAGGATGAAAATGCCCCCAACCGGGCCAAATAGGGTTCAATTTTTCAAAATATTATTTATTAAAAACTTTTTTTAAGTAATATGTATTTAAGGTATTGATTATCTGTTTATAAAAAAGAATAAAAAATATTAGTCTTAAAATTTTTATAGTTAAAAATAGTGAAATGGGAAGGAAAATTTTTCTAAAATTAAAATAAATGTTTCTCCACAATACTTTTTTGAAATTAAAAATGAGCCGTCCCCCTTTTTGAGTAATATGCAAGGAAAAAAAAACCCGGTTTTGAAACAAATGTCTTCCCCACGTTTGTAAATAGCGTTTCCCGTTGACTGTGGGGAAGGTTAGGTGGTAAATGCAAAAATCGGAAAAATTTTAAATATTTTAAACTCGCAACTATTTCCACGGAAGGGAAGGGAAAAAAGATTTTCAGTGAAAAAAATTAAAATTTTAAAATGCATGTATCTGTTGATTTAGGAAATTATTTATAATAGGTTTTTTATGGTCGTGGTTTTTATAATATTTCAACTTGTCGCAAATAATATTATATAGGTATTTTTACTATTGTTCGTACATTATTATCTCAACCAGTTTGCATTATAGGCAGATACAACTGAAATTTTGAATACAATTTGGATCATTAGAAAGAAGTTTTTTTCTCTATTTTGTTCTGAATCTGGCAATAGGATCCCAATCTACACATTTTGCTATCTTTCAAGATACACATGTATATTATACTCATTCTTGAGTAAAATATTTTAATCATAGAAATTTATTGAAATATATGAAATTCTTACTGCATGTATATGTCTTAATTTGAATAAAAGAATGAAAGAAAAGAAAAACAATGTATGGGGAGCTGTGTTCCCTAAATATTACAGGTCAAGTAAAATTTGTCTTTTCATTAAAAACTGCCAGTTTTGCTTTAATGACACTCTATATTCATATTGTGACTATACCTACATAGTGTGTAGAATTTTAAATATATCTACTTTGTGTGAAGTCAAAACATGTTTATTTAAAATATGTTAACAAAGAGACTGTGTTTAGCAATTGTCAAAATATTTTTAAACACAGTAATATCAAAATTTTTGATATCAAAATTTTAGAAGTTCTAAAAAAAAAGAATGTTTTTTATTTCAAAATTTCCCAAAGTTTGTTTAATTAAACCAAATACTTTAAAACAAGCGAAGTGTAACGGAAAATCCTCGGTGCTTTTCCATTTTTAAAATATACCCCCCTTTTAAAAAAGATTTCCTTATGAATATGGTTTCAAAATTTTTTTTTGAAATGATAAAATAAAAATTCCCGGAATACGACTTTTCGACTTCACAAAGAAGACGTGGCGGGATGACGTCACTTTCCTCGTGGAAGACCAGCGGTTTTATGCCACTAAAGTAATATTAGCCATAGCTTCACCAGTGTTTGAAGCTATGTTTGGCACCAACTTTAAAGAAAGTGGAGAAACGGAAATACCTTTACCAGGTATAATATTAACTATTGTTTTTTTTTGTAAAAAGAATTTAAAAACTTTGTTTTTTTTCATCTATGAAAGAGAAGCCTAAAATAGACATTTGTTGCTTATGATCTACCTTTAAACTAGTATGTTTAAAGTGACATTGATTATGCACATCCAAGGGTATTGTGAGTGAACAGGTGAAAGTCAAATTAAGTCTTCATTTTTCCATAATTCCTTTCAATCCTATAATTTACTTAGCATAAACGATAAGTAACTCCGGTATTCAAAGTAAATTTCGGAAAATATACATTAGAATTTGAACAGTTTATAAAAAGAGAGGGGCATTCTTTTTATATTAAGGTTGATTTATATTTCATCATAAACATTTTTTCAATATCAACTGTTTGTTGGTCAATCACCATTTTAACAGCCAATCTTTTGTAATATAATGACATTTCAGCTCTATTTGACAATGAAAAAAAAGCATAATGTCTATTAAATTGTGTTTTCAACTTCCCTATGTTTAAGGAAATGATAAATTTCAAGAAATTGAAAAGCTCTGACCAAAATGCTACCAGTGTGAAATGTGACATTATTTTAGGCTAAAGCAAAACACAAATATGAGCTACTGGATACTGTCACACCCCCCTCCCCGCCACAAAACCCTACCCTCTACGTCCCCGGCCAGGACTTGCTTACGCAGAATTCAGCATTTAAAACATTCGTAAAAGTTATATTAATCATAATCCTGTGGTCAAAATGACCCCCTTTTTTCTGCCTTTTATTTACTCAAGTGATATGAACGGGATCCAAATTTTTTTTATTTTTTTTATTTATTTCTAGGTAAAAAACCTGAAGATTTTAATGAGTTTCTGAAAATGATATATCCAAACACAAAGATGAAGATATGCGCTGATAATGTGTACAAACTACTTCCACTAGCTGATGAGTATGATGTTAAATCAGTTGTGAAAAAATGTCGGAGATATCTCAGTTTCCATCTGAAGAATGACCAGGCTTCAACAGAAGAAATTGTACTTTGCCACAGTCTTGCTACCCGCTACAAATTTCAGGGTCTTCGGGATGTTTGTGCGTCCCGTCTTTCTGATATTGGACTGAAAGAAATACAATCCAGTGGCCTGGATGACACGGAAACCCTGCTTGAACTGCATAGAGACATCTTAAAGAAGCAAGGAGAATTACTTGATTCAACACGAACAGAGTTGACTGAGATGTATATGAAATCAGATTTATCATTAGAAACCGTGTCGGAACGTAACTTTCCGTTTTGGAAAGGAGCTATTATCAAGTTCAAAACATGCCTAGATCTATCGATAGAGGACAGGAAAATAAGTAGCCCTGTGTCTGTATGGAATATAAACTTTGCAGTCATTACGAAGATCACAAAAAGAGGACATGTTGATTATCTCTCTGTTTTATTGACAGCTACATATCCTGAAGAAAAAGATAACCTCGCTTGTATTGTGGATGCAAAACTCCAGTTACGGCATATTGGAACAAATGTTGGGCCACATCATTGTTTTTCTATAAGAGAAAAGGAATTTTCAAAAGAGTTGAAATTCTCTCATGGCTTCCGTAGGAGAGTACTAGACCTTATAGCGGATGAATATTTTGTGGACGAGAAAATAGACACGGTGATTTATTTCGTGGCAAGGAAGCCTTTCGTCAAAAATCAGTGAATTAAGCAACGGGATGACCCTGACAGAAAATAAACTAAACACATTGGAGCCGTGCCATGACAAAACCAACATAATGGCTTTGTGACCAGCATGGATCAAGACCAGCCTGCGCATCCGCGCAGTCTGATCAGGATCCATGCTGTTCGCTTACAAACTCTATTACAAGTAGAGAAACTGATAGCGAACAGCATGGATCCTAATCAGACTGCGCGGATGCGCAGGCTGGTCTGGATCCATGCTGGTCGCAAACCCATTATGTTAGTTTTGTCGCGACGCGGCTCATTTGTATTACTAGTATCTTGGACATGTTACAACGTAGCAGACGGTAATATTTTGGAAAAGGTGAAAAGACACCTTTGATTAAATTAAAGTCAGGAATTTTTAAAGTTTGTTTCAGGTTTTGTAAATCGTTTTAATTGTCACAAATTTTGTTTTGTTACAATACAACACACAAAAGAATTGTGTAATATTATTTTGAAGTACCTGTGTAGTAGTTTTCTTGATATAAAGCCAAAATTTCCCCGTAGCCGTCCTAACTTAATATTGACTAAAAGAAATATAGGCGATAAGGAATGACAGAAATTAAATGCGTCTTTTATATTATGAAATTAGCAAACAAAACAACAATTATTAGATCGACTTTTTTCTTTCTCTTTTTTATGCACCCCGAAAAATTTCGGGGGAGCATATAGTCGCCGCCTTGTCCGTCCGTCCGTCTTTCCGCACTCACAGGAGAGTAATTATGTGGCTAGAGGGACAATAGGTAACTGTTCTTTCTCTTTGATGTCATTCATTCCGTAATGCTTTTATGTGGCTATTTTCTTTTGTGTGGCTAAAAAGAACGATAGAGAGAACAATAGAGTAGCCACATAATTACTCTCCTGTTAGCACTTCCGTCCGTACGTCCCCTTTTCTTGTCCGGGACATAACTTTGAAACAACAAGAGGTATCAACATGAAACTTTGTAGGTAGACAGATCTCATTGAGTAGGTGTGCAGTGCACAAGAACCGTAACTCTGCCTTGCCTAATTTTTGAATTACTCCCCTTTGTTTATTTTTACACTTTGAACTTTGTCCGGGACATAACTCTAAAAGTATAAGAGGTATCAACATGAAACTTTGTAGGTAGATAGATCTCATTGAGTAGGTGTGCAGTGCACAAGAACCGTAACTCTACCTTGCCTAATTTTTGAATTATCTCCCTTTGTTTATTTTTACACTTTGAAATTTGTCCGGGACATAACTCTAAAAGTATAAGAGGTATCAACATGAAACTTTGTAGGTAGATAGATCTCATTGAGTAGGTGTGTTGTGCACAAAAACAGTAACTCTGCTTGCCTTTATTTTGAATTATCCCCCTTTGTTTATTTTACTTTTTGAACTTTGTCTGGGACATAACTCTAAAACTATAAGTGATATCAACATGAAATTTTATAGGTAGAAAGATCTCATTGAGTAGGTGTGCAGTGCACAAGAACCGTAACTCTGCCTTGCCTAATTTTTGAATTATTCCCCTTTGTTTATTTTCACACTTTGAACTTTGTCCAGGACATAACTCTAAAACTATAAGAGGTATCAACATGAAACTTTGTAGGTAGATAGATCTCATTAAGTAGGTTTGCAGTGCACAAGAAATGTTACACTGTCTTGCCTACTTTTGGAGTTATTGCCCTTTGTTCATTTTGACACTTTGAACTTTGTCCGGGATATTACTCTAAAATTATAAGAGATATCAACATGAAACTTTGTAGATAGATAGGTCTCATTGGGTGGAAGTGCAGTGCTTAAGAATCATTACTCTGCCTTGCCTTATTTTGAAGTTATTGCCCTTTTTTATTTTTACTTTTTGACTTGTCCGGGACATAGCTTTAAAACTATTAGCGATATTAACATGAAACTTTGTAGGTAGCTAGATATAATTGGATATAACTGCAATGCTTAAAGAACCTGAACAAAGCCTGGTGTTATTTTGGAGTTATTGCCCTTTGTTCATTTTTACACTTTGAATTTTACCCGGGACATAACTCTGATATCATCAGGAAACTTTATAGATAGATAGATCTCATTGAATAGAAGTGCAGTGCAAAAAAAACATAACTACGCCTTGCCTAATTTTGGAGTTTTTGCCCTTTATTCATTTTTTTATACTTTCCTGTGTCCAGCACCTTCTCGGGGAGCATCACCCGGTTCAACCTGTTCTTGTTTTAAAGAGGTATTGTTTCAGTCATGACGGCATTGGCGTTGCCGTCGGCAAACTTTAACCTTGATCATAACTTTTTTAGATTTCGGTGTATTGTCTTCATACTTTGTCACAACAACCCTTGGGATAAGACCTTCAGTTAGACAAGACTATCCTTGACCTTCATTCATAAACGACATTGACCTTCAAGGGCAAGTGTCTAATCTGTGCTTGTTTTTTGCTGATGTTTGCTATTAGTGGTTAACTTTGCTTTTATATTGATTGTCTTCAAACTTGATCATAATAATCTTTTAGGATAGACCTTCAAATAACTATACAGACCTTGGTCTCCACTTTTTCTGTAACTTTCTTTTAAAGATTTGTTTAAACCGTTTATTTGTTTGCTTTTAGAAAAAGAAAAAAGTCGAGCGTTGTCATCGCCCGGCGGTGGCTCTTGTTTTAAATAATAGATTTAGCCCACATACAGGACGTTACAGATGTTGTCAAATCGGAACATTAGAGTAGAGGAAAATGTTATAAAAAGCAAGCCTGTTATAGCCTAAATGTTAGTCTATATATTATGTGAAATGACCTCAAATGTAAGTTTCAACGGGGGTAACTTTATATGGATCTCTGCATTGAGCATTGTTAAAAATATGTATCTTTCCGTATAATCCAGATGTGCGCTTTAACACTCTATGAGAGAAAAAAAGTAAGTCATGAATATGTTAAGCTTTTTAACTTTTTAATCCAATGCTTTTTAAAACGTAATTCTACCCTCGTGACTTTCCTCTATATTCCCCTGTTTTTGTATCGGGTATTCGTGCAGTCTTCATGGTATTATTCTTTTCGTCATTGGTTCTGTGTGTCACAAAACAGGCTCATAAAAAACATTGCAGTTTCATATTGCTGTTGTTTGTAAAGAACGAGATTATAACTGGCATAAGCGAAAGATAAAAGTAGAAGTACTATTTTCTCCATTACTTTTCTTCTGGAATTCTGGCCTGTAATTATCAAGAGAGCCTGGCATTATTATCAAGCCCTGATGATCTGGATACATACCGTATTTATATTTTACACCGTCTAATGGTAGTTTGTCGTCAGAGAAAAATTAAACGAAATGAGTCGCGTAAGTAGCAGTTATATTCAGGATCGAGTCCTTACTTTATATAAAAGTTGTCAAGGATTTTTACCATAGTATGTAAGCCTCTGGCGGGCTTAACAACATTTTTTCTTTGAAAAAAAAATCATTCTGTCAAACAGTGCAATGCGTTAAAATAGGAGCAGTAATGAATTCCAAGAAAGGATATTTTTAAATATATCCGATTATTATATATGAGCCGTGTCATGACAAAACCAACATAATGCGTTTGCGACCAGCATGGATCCAGACCAGCCTGCGCATCCGCGCAGTCTGATCAGGATCCATGCTGTTCGCTTACCAACTCTATTACAAGTGGAGAAACTGACAGCGAACAGCATTGTTTGTATTTGAGAAGGACTGTATGGACCCGGAAGATGAAAAAAATGCTAAATTGATAAAACTGAATCAAATATTTTGAGATGATCAGTGTTTTGTATTATATAAAAGATTACTTCGAGTACCGAATGGATTTTACATGGAACTGTTGGACTCGAAAAAGGAAAACCAAGCTTGATGAAGTATAAAATTCATTTATTATGATATTATAACATAGTGCTTGAAGATCATTACACTATATAACGTGTGAAATGAGTAGGAATTAAAATACATTAAAACACAATGCTAGTCAAGTGATAAAAATTTAATATACATGTATTAAACAAAAAACAACAACAACAAAACACACACACATGCACACACTTACACACAAACGACCATATTTGATTCTACCGAAAAATTACGATAGTAGATTGCGAACACCAAAATGTCTGACACCTCTGGTGTTATTGTCGATGTGAAGTTACACATGTTTCTAATGTTCAGTTACATTACTTATGTATGATGCAATTGTTTCAACGTTGCACAGTTATTGTTACTGTTCTAGTCAGCCTCGTTTTCATTTTCCTTATTGAAACTGTTCCAGCCAGCCTCGTTTTCATTTTCCGAGTTTAAAAACCCTTATCATTATCACTATTGTACTCTTTTTAGGGATAATGGGATAAGATGAGGTTATTTTACATGGCTGATTTTAATACTAAATTCTATTGCACGAGTACACAGAGCTTGTCAAACGTATATTGGACAAGGCACTAGGCAAGTCTTAAATAGGTTTTCAAATTTTGTAGCTGTGTACAAGTCCAATAAAATCAGTACTGTTCTGACATGTCCACTTCACATCAACTTTTAGACATTTTTACGAGAAAAAAAAGTGAAACACTGAAATTGAAAATGAAGATTAAAGGAACATTATAGTGATAATGATAAAGATTTTAAACTCGGAAAGTGAAAACGAGACCGGATGGAACATTATTCTGAATTGATATGGTTTTTTCGACTGGCAAAATGAAAATGAGGCTAAATTGATAAGTCTGAATCCTATAATTATTTATATTTGGAGATCACATGTGCATTGGCTACATTAAAATATAAGGTGTAAAATGAAATTATATCTCCAACTTGTATACCCCTTAATATAAAAGTCATATTCTACAATCAACGTCTTAATTTGTGACGTTTCTGACACATTTTGCTGATAACGCAACAGTAATTTACAATATGACACAACAGCCGCTGTCGTCACTTCTATTGTAATATGTCGTCTGCGGTTGGCTGGTATAAGTAGGCTGTGCTGTATACTGGTTTGTTCTGTTGTACTCTATGGCTCTTGGGGCTTCTGGCGGTGCCTCGCCGACGGCAATTCTTGCAAGTCGAGGAGCAAAGTGTTGCATGGGAGTCACCCAGTTGGTCACGAGCCAATGCTGCTTGAACGCCATTATCTTAGACACGTGCCGTCGTTGTCCACCAATGATGATCGAATCGGACAGAAGCAAGTTGTGTTGGACAGCACTTATTTCAAAGAAGTTGTTATTACTGTCTCCACACATATCATCATCCTATTTGAATAAAAAAAATGAGCAAAATATGTTATAATACCTAAAACTAGAGAGGGCAAAAAAACATAAACATCTAAATTAATTGGTCACAGTTTTGCGAAAGCAATATAGAATATTCAAGGTACAACGTATGATTTAATCTGTTTAGGCACTAAACAAAACGCTGCTGCAGCTTACGTTACTAAAATCAATTTAAGAATAGTGAACGCGACGCTAGTGTAAAATTAGTTTTGTTCTTGAACAAATGTGCCATTTTAATTTTGTCAATTAGTTCTTGTCTTAAGTGTTATATGAACCAATCCATCTATTAATTAAGATTCAATTATATATACATCTTGGCGTATTTCCCAACTTATATACGTTTTTACCTGAAATATTACTTTTCCCGAAAGCTCGTCTGGAGAAAGAAGAAAGCACAGTGAAACAAGGGCGTCCGTCTCTGTTTCAGACAATGTATAATAGTATGCGTAGTTTCTGTTGATAGAATTTCAGAATATACATTTTGTATAGTGTAGGTTGAACACCTCTAAATATGGTTTTTGCAGATTTGGTATAATTTGAATATCTATATGATATGAAAATCAAAAGAGTAAAACAGTTTAAATTAACTCCACTAGAGGCCAAAAAAAAATATAAAAAATTGAATTTCTTACATAGATCAGGGGACACTTAAAACAGAGCGATACGCAATATTTATACAAAAAATGAATTTCTTACATAGATCAGTAGGGACACTTAAAACAGAGCGATACGCAATATTTATACTTAGAAATATATTGAAAAGTCATATTTGTGTGCTATTTCTAACTAGATTTGAGTGAAAACGTTACAACGCCTTTAAATTTTCAGTCATTTGTCACAATTAGATTTATTATTATAAACAGGAATGGGCGAATGATTTGAAATGGACCTTTCCGGTTTTTCGTAGCGGAACATTTAGCCACACCTTTTCCATTGATTGCTAGGTCAACTGCTCACAAACAGTATCGCAAAAATAAGCACGTGTTCTTTTGTACCTGTGACTATGTATTATCTCAGTGTAGCGATTCGATAACAAGTTAGCCAATTTACATAAAACTGTTAACACCGGAAAGGTCCATTTTGCACACAAGTTAGTGTAGACCTACATTAAATGGAGCATTAATCTCGAAAAATTATTTTTAAAAAACATCAGGGGAGTCCCTTTAATTGGCATTCAATTACAGTGTACCATTTCCATACAGTAACTTATTCTTCTTTTATTAAAGAACAATATATAAATGTTTGGTCTCATCACAGTAGCTTGAAATTTTGTCAAACAATTTATTCTTAGCAGATATTTAAAATATACCCATATGTACAATATTTCTGAGGAATAATATATAAAGGTACTTTTTTTGATATTTCAAAATATGGAAAATGTCAACATATACTGTATCAAATAATATTTCTGTTAGTATCAATTATTTTAGTCCTGCCGAATAGATGGTTTGTGACCAATTTTATGTTAAGACCTTTATATCATTGAGAAAATATTTCATTTGAAACCCTAAATTATTTTGGGATTTTAGTCCAATTAAATTCCGAATATTGAATTGATAAATAAAAACAGAGCATGTAGGGGATCTACCATATATTATCTATTTATTTTAATTTTTATACCTGAGTCTTGTTAGATTGGCCGTGTCACTAAGGTCAAGGACAACGCACATACAGTCGAGATAATACATGAGCCGAGCTTTTGGGTCATTTGGAATGGTGACGCTGCGACCAATCTCCTTGACGCCAAGTTCTGTTCGACCCATCACTGCTGCCATTTTGTAACGCCACGTGATAAGGCAAGCAACACAGAAATCTGATAAAACAAGATACCTAATAAAATTTTCTGATTTGTAGCTTTTTTAAGAGCAAATGAGAGTCTACAACTGAAAAATTACTTAAAGGCACACTATACCTCAGAAATGAATAAATATTTACTTCTATAGAAATGTCAAACATGAGTTTTATATAACGTTTAAAGATCCTGTAACTCAATTTTTGGTTTTATATAATAAATTTAATGCTCAAATGAAGATTTATCAATGTTGTAAGTTTCAAAAAAGACATAACCGAATTACTTTTCATATTAATATAGGGAGGTCATTAGAAATTTACCGGTAGTTTCTATAAAGTCTGAGTCAAATTTTTCAATAAAAAATGAATGGATATATTTTAATGATTACATATAATGTGGTCAAATAAATGTCAGTACATATTTTACATATTCTGTCATATGAAAATTGTTTTAGAAGCATTATCATATACATATATAAAATTTCACTTAAATGTGGAAACACCTTGATTAAAACATACAGGATCTTTAAATACATGTGCATGTATACTTTAGAGCTTGTTAGATCTTTGTTACCTGAAGAAAGTAGCGCTGTAAATGCAAAATTGTATGTCATTAAAGTAACAAAATGTAAACAAATTAGAATTTTGACTTAAAAATACTAAATCTTGGTAGATTGCTCCGTTTGTTTGTACCGTTAATGTGCCTGTTTCTTATTCCATTTGTTTTCTTTTGCCTATCTTGTCGTTTGTTCCATTCAGCGTATCGTAAGTATGCATCGTTTGTCTGTATTATTGATGTGTCTTTGTCTTATTCCATTTAATTTCTTTTGTCTTTTGTTCCATTCAGCGCTTTGTAGATTGCTCCGTTTGTTTGTACCGTAAATGTGCCTGTTTCTTATTCTTATTCTTCTATCTTGTCGTCTGTTCCATTCAGCGTATCGTAGTATGCTCCGTTTGTCTGTATTATTGATTTGTCTTTGTCTTATTCCATTTAAATTCTTTTGTCTTTTGTTCCATTCAGCGTTTGGTAGACTGATCTGTTTGTCTGTACCATTAATGTGCCTTTGTCTCGTTCCATTTAATGTCTTTTGTCGTTTGTTCCATTCAGCGTCTTGTAGAATGCTCCGCTTGTCTGTATCGATGATATCCCTGTGTCTTATTCCTTTTGTCTGTCTTGTCGTCTGTTCCATTCAGTGTGTCTTGTAGAATGCTACGTTAAGTATTTGTTGATATCTACAGGGTAACGCCTCTGTCTGTTCTGTTGTCTTTTTTCCCCTGTCTTCCATTCGGTCTTTTGAATTGAATTGTGATCTGTTTAGTCTATATATTTATGTATAGCCGTTTAGTCTGTTTATTTTATGTTCTATTCGTTTTGTCAGTCTCGTAGTCATTTCATTCCTTTAGTGGAGTAGCGGGGGATCGAACTCACGACCCCTTGATTGGTAAGCAGACAGTGTTACCACTGCACCATAGCGCCCGCTCTGAATAATAACTGTTTTTGAAAGTCCTATATACATTATTACTTCAATGGCTAACAAAATATAAATTGCAATTAAATTTTGACACCTTTACTTTAGTTGTCAACCCACGCGACTTTTAATTTATCGTCTCGATTTAAGTTATATTTTCTGCTCCTTTAAAATACCCTCGAAATTTAGTGGAGGATTTCCGGAATTCTAAGGTATATCAGATGGTGTGACAATTTTTATGTACAATTGTCCTAAAACCGAAACTGAAAGCTGCTATGGTATCGCAAGCCAATGTACCAATCTCCCGATGTCAGATATTTAAAGCGAAAAAACGGGTAATTTTACATAATGAAACTACGGTGGCACAAAGGTGACATGTGTGTGTTTTTATTCATCTCGTGCGCACGAGATACTTTGTCGTGGCCACGAGTTACTAAGTCGTGGCCACGATTTAGCTAAGTCGTGGGAACGAGATACTATGTCGTGGCCATGAAATAAATAAAAAACACACATATATCACATTTGTGCCACCGTATGAAACGTTTTACGTTCCATTGAATTCAATTTGATGATAAAAGAAAACGATATGATCGTTAACACCGCAATGTAGATCAAAGCGCTAAAAGCACTGAATGCGACAGCTTAACTTGGGCAATAATGATACAAATTAAACAAATAAAAGGATGCGACATGTCATTGCGTAAAATAAATTAATTAGTGTCTTGTACATCTCTTTAAAGACCTCTGAAGGTGCTATATTTTATGCTGTGATGTTAGAAATTAATTGACATTTTCATTTGTAACCGCAAATTACATGCATAGTTAGTATAATTGTTGACACTGTACAACTTTATGATCTAACACTGTCCATTCCCCGTTATTTAAATACTTTGCTCGTTTACATGTTGTTATAGCTTTGAAAACAGGCGCATGCCACTAAACTTTTAAATACACCACATATTTCGTCGTAAATAAACTTAACTGCTTTACAGTTTACTGTTCCTGGCAGTACAATTTGAAACTTTGTAGGTGGTTAGGTCTAATTAAAGAGGAATGCAGCTTAAAGGAGTGATAAAAACTATGGTGGGGAATATCCGCCAAAAGTATATGTATCTTGATAGCATGTTCATATGTGAATGAAACAATCCATGTGTGTTGATTGTTTCATATTACATTGTCCATCTTCTTTGTATATTGATTTACATACATGAATGCAGACTTTCAAATGCATATATATGCCATTGCAAGGAATCATATTAAAACTATTATATTTACTTGATGGGTTCATTTGTTTAGCCTTGTTCATGAATAACAACGGATTCCAAAAGAATAGGCCCTACTCTTAGTTTATACAAATTTATTTTAGTTCGATTGTGTTGGAAGCTATACGCTTATTGAAACACTCACGAATCTGTTCCTGGAATCAACCAGAACTAAGCAATGAACGAAAAGTTTCTTGCTCAAGGAAACAATGACTTGCCCCTTGCAGGGTTTGAACCCACGCGGTCAGCAATCTTTAGATTACTAGTCCGACGCATTAACCACTCGGCCACGCCGCCACCGAATACTCTTCTAAAAGGACATGAAGGTGTGTGTACGTGCGTGCGTGTGTGTGAGTCTGTCTGTCTGGGCTGGCCAACTAACATAAATTAACAGTCTTTCTGATGAGACAATAAATCGAGGTCCCGTACATGAGTTGTATTATATTTTAGTATTATTGTTGTATTATATGGGGTAAAGGAAACACAAACTACACAAATAATGTTTGTAAAATACAAAAACGAATTGCTAAACTCATTTTACAGCAATCACCGTCAAGATCTCCGTCAATGGAGCTTTTCATATATCTTGACTGGTTACAATTCCTTGACATAAGTTTACACAACACGGCGGTACTTGCTTTAAAAATTTAAATAGCATGGCACAAAGTTATAGGACAAAATTGATGACTTTATCAGACAACAAAATATACAATTTAAGATCTAACTCACGAAATGATATTGTATCATGGACAAGACCTAGAACAAATTATATTAAAGATACATTTTCATATCATGGCATGGACATTTGGAACAATATACCTTTAAATATTCACTATGTTGACAATCTTAAATGTTTTAAAGAAAAATACATAACAACCCTTGATGTTACAACACTTGATATTAATATGAATGAATGAATAAATGATGAATAAATGAATAAATGAATGAATGAATAAATGAATGAATGAATGAATGAATGAATGAATGAATGAATGAATGAATGGATGGATGGATGGATGAATGAATGAATGAATGAATGAATGAATGAATGAATGAATGATGAATGAATGTATGAATGAATAAATAAATGAATGAATAAATGAATAAATGAATGAATGAATAAATAAATAAATAAATGAATGAATGAATGAATGAATGAATGAATGAATGTTGTTTTTTTTTCAACAAAAGAAGTAGTAAAATCATGAAAGAAAAAAGTATCACTAGGCAGTAGCCATACAAATAGAACTTATATAGGTACATGTATTATATTTACACAAATTCTGTTTAGTGAGAAGCAATGTGTAATACAGCAAAAGCTCACATGCAATTGAAATAATGATCTGTTGAATTTATAGAACTGTGCAATGAAGCAATATTATGTGTTTGCATTTGCAATGTTTTAATTCAGTTAAAAAAGCAGCAATGTGCAAAGAATCATGAGTTACATCCCGGGTTTTGAAAATTCTTTTTTACAGTAAGCAAATTTATGAAATAAAAAAGGGAAAATCAACACACAGGGTTTTGTAAATTCAGATATAAATATCATAAAAGGGCATTAATTAGGGAAAAGGCCCATTTCCCCCTTTCATCCCGGGGGGCAAAGCAAAACCCCGGGGAAACAAAGCAAAACTTTGGACAAAGCGAAACAGGGGGGCAAAATAAATTTTAAGGCCATCTTTTAAAAATTTACTTGAAACGATTCGTGACAAATTTTCCCTTTCCCGGAAAAAAAAAATTTAAAAAAAAACCCCATTTGTTTATTTTTCGTGGAAAAAGAAAAGGCCCACTATTAAATACCCGGGTATTTTTTGTGTTCCATCCTTTTTTAAATTTTTACATGAAATAAAACAGTTACTAAGGATATGGTTTAATAACTCTCAATTTGTAATAAATTCCGTCTGAGGTGTATGTCGTTAAAGCTATTGATAGAGTGATGATACATAAACAAATATAGGCCTACTCGTAATTGAAAAAAAAGAAGAAAATTATAAAGAGCCGATTTAAAACTTCCTGTCTGAGGTACACACAAAAATAAACGAAACTCTTAAAACAAGTTTGAATAAACAATTTAAATTTTGTATTAACTCTAATCTCGAATTAGATAACGGTGCAAAAAGGGAGGCAAATATCGAATGAAAGTGTTATCTGACATCACATTTTCTTTATACGCGGCAAAGATATATTTTATGGACGCTTCAGTCGTTTGCACAAACAGGTTTAAATATCTAGATAAGTCATGAATGTTTTTTTCTTCCCTTTTCATGTATTCTAAATAGGTCATTACCCATTTTTCAATATATATTAATTAAAGTAACAAAGTAGCCGTGAACGATCCAAATATCCGATCCAAATGTCAGTATCAGAAACGATTGTGTTCACCTTGAATTATATAACAGATAATTTATATTTATTAAACTTTCCATGAATCTATGGCACGGAAGAAGTCACGAACATTTTGAAAATGTAAATAAAATTGGTCTAATATGTCCAGTTTCGCCAGCGATGAAAGAATTGTCATTTGACCTTGATCCTAATATATTAGTGAACATAGGATTTGTTATGCACGGCCATACTTTGATACCAGATAATATTGAAGAATTAGTATCATAAAAATCAAAATAAAATAAAAACTACATATTTTTTACATAAATTATAAAAACAGAAATTTGATAGGGTGTCTTTTTATAAAACTTATTTTTTTCCAAAAAAGGCCCCAATTCCATACATGTTTTTCTCTGCTCTTTAAACCATATGTTAAAAATAATTCAAAAAAATTTATGTTTTTTACTCCGGTTTTCATAAACTTAGGGCATTTTACGTGAATTTTTTTCCGTTGTTCCCATTTTTGAGCATTTCCAGTATAAATTCATTTCTGCTAAAAAAAACACACTTTTCCCTTTTAAGCCGAAATTTTGGAAGGCCCCAAGAAAAAAAATAATTATCCCCCTCTTAATATTTAAAATGGGATGGGGAGCATTTTCATTTTTTTTTGGGTTTTTCCCTTTCAAAGTAAATTTTAAACCCCCTTTTTCCCAACGGGGGGGCACATTCGTGAAAACACCATTTTTCCACCTGCATTTCTTTTCTTGAAAACGGTTCAGGGGCACGAAATACAGTGATAGAGATTCTAACTGTGACTGTCGCGAAGAGTGCCGATTTCAAAGATAATTCATAAAAAAGTTGTGAAAAAGAAACTGAACTTACCTTTAAACGCTGTAACAATACATATATCGAATAGTAAACTGAAAAAGGAAGTTGATTATAAATAAATATATATAAAATATCATTTACAGTAAAGTCTCGACATTAAGACCGCCAGTGGTATTAAAACACGGTGTTTTCAGTAACTGTAAGCAACTAAGCACGTACGACCAGGAGGCAAGTCATCTAATTTCACTAATTAATTTTGATTAATTGCTTCAATGGATATACCTTTTTCAGACTGTGGGAAACATTAATGTGATATTTTAATTACTAATTATTATAAATACTGTACTATGTAAATGATAACCACGAACAATGGCCGTGAGCATTTCAATAGTCCTTTGTGTCTTTTTTGTAGCGTTCGCAACTTTTCGGCCCCTTCCGTCAAGCTTCGGGTTTACGGAATCGGCAGAGTGTTCTTGGCCAGAATGTGCACTCTGATGACATTGGATACGCATTGTCGTCAATATCCTTAAAGTGGTAGATTTTTTTTTTGCATTAAAGCTGCATACCTTCAAATACGCAAACATATTTTAAGAAAATCAAACTTAAGAAGTATGTACATGTACTAAGATCTTAAAAAAAGTAAAATTATTCAAGATTTCAGTGATAATTTACATGGTCTGTAAATACCTGACTTTGCGTATTCATCACTGTGTGGTTAACGCAGTAAGGGCTAGTTTAAATTTTTTTAAAAATTTGCGTGGATTTTAAGTTATATTTTCAACGTGTAAAAATAATTAAGTAAAATGTTCATGAATCTGGAGGCATGCTGTTTAAAGGGGCATGTATCTTCATACTACCTTTTTAAAGAGCATGTGCATAATTGCATGAATTTTTGTTAAAGCGGAATTGTATTACCTTTCCTTTCCAGGTAAAATAAAATACACGTTAAAACAGTGGGGTTTTATTTAAGAATTTAACTTCCTTGGTTGACGCAAAAAGTCTCCCAAACAAGTTGTTTATCCGAGCTTAAAGTTATGAATGGTATGTGTGTGAAAGACGCAATTGCGTACAATTTTCTATAATAATCTTAACCTTAGGTTAAATATCAGAAAAATATAATTAATTCATGTTGATTGTTAGATATTGCTTCTTAAAATAAACCTAATTAAGTTTAAACATTCGGTAAAAACAAAATACTATAACTTCTTTGGTATCTACAGTTTTTATTATTATAATTATTATTATAATTATTATTATTTATTATTATTATTATTATTATTATTATTATCATTATTATTATTATTATTATTATTATTATTATTATTATTATTATTATTATTATTATTATTATTATTATTATTATTATTATCAATATTATTATTATTATTATTATTATTATTATTATTATTATTATTTATTATTATATTATTATTATTATTATTATTATTATTATTATTATTAAAATTAAAAATTATAATTACATGTTGTAACATTTCATTTCAATTCATAATTGGATTTAATTCCCCGGTTTATTTTTTGGATAAAGGAGCATAAAACAGGGATATGAATCCCTACTCAAAAGTAGCTTAAATTTTAACAAGTTTATGACAGTAACCCACATTCATGAACTATGTAAAAGGTTTACAATAATTACATTGGTTTTATTCTTTCAAAGTCATTACGGAGTGCAATAATTGTCGTTATTTATCCCTTCTATTTTTGCATGGTGCCACAAATGGAATTTTATCATAATATTTATGTGACATTCATGTTTTTTGTTGTTGTTTTTTTTTCAAAACATCGGGTACGATTTATTGTCGATATATGATAAATGGGTAATCAAGTATCCAAATGATTTCATTCAATTCTAAGAATATTATTGTGCGTGGAAATTTTTTTGTAAGAAACAGCATTAATTAATTTCTATCAAGACACTGACTTGGGATTTAGAAAATAATAAATCTGATCAAAACTAAGAGTTCGGTTAATTTCGGTCAATTCATCCAGGACATAACTTTTAGCAGATCTATACGAAACAACACACACGTCACTTCCTTGGCGTCATATGAGGGCTATTTACGTCGGTCAGTACAAGCCACGTGGTCTTTTTTTTAAGTTTGCTAATGGCAATTGTACAGAGGGCGTACAAAGTATTTTCTAAAAACAAAACAAATAGGCCTACCATTATTAGGCTGATCAAAACAATATATATGTATATAGAACTATCTTCCTTCTATATATCTTTTATTTCGTGTCGTCATGATATCTTAAAATAAAAAATAGTAAAGAACTTACACGAACATAATATTCTTTTTATCACATATACAAAATAAAGAATGTTTAATGTGCAAAAGAAGCGTTTTTCTTCGACGCACCTATAGTGCAGCGCGTCTTTACACTATTGTACAACGTCAAAATATATGCACGACCGTGCAATAGATTTTTTACGGAGTAGCAAAATCGGCACGGGTATGTGAAAAATCGTGATATTCAGACTAAGGGTGATAATGTCTTATAAAATGTCTATAGAATATTATAATTGTATGAATCTCGTACTTGTGCCAAGTATGAACTTCCTGTCATTTAATTAGTCTTAATAATCAAAACAATTTTAAACACGTTTATGCATGCAGGCCGGGTCAAAGTTCAAATATTCAATCTATTTGAAAGACCCTGATTGGACGAATGACTATCTCATATGTATTTAATATTATATATATGACAACATATATTCATACCATAGTAAAGCACCTCGTTCTTAGAAGATTTGCTTAAGTCGTTTTTTTGTTATTTTTTTTTGTATAGAGCCTACCTAATTTGCTTTTCAAGATAATTTATTTTCATTTAAAGTTACACATGACATGTATTTGAGATCTACACATAAAATTATAAAAGCTGTATAGATCGAGATCTACTCTCACATGAATTTTCAAAACAGGTTGAGTATCAAAAAGTTATGTTTTAAATAAGTCACATATTTTCAATGAATCAATGAAGAAATGAAATTTCTTCATATTCTAATATGGAACAATGCAATGTATTGAAAAGGTTCTACAGCTATTTAATGAACTACAATTTTTATTATGTCTTTGAGCCGAGCACAGAAATGCTCAAAATCCACTCACATTTTTAAAACTTATTTAGCGGTCTTTGCCCTATAGTAATTTTTATGATAAGTAAATATTATAGCACAAATCGGAACTGACCTTGCGCATGTCAACTGCACATGGCCGGCTATGTTGAAAGTTGTATGGTATTTATAAACATTTGACAATAGTTTTGTAAGTAGATATTAATTTGTGTCGGTTAAGCATACAGAGAATAAACAAAGATGGGGAACAATGCATCTGCACCAGCCCCGGTAGCCCCGATACCAGATAAAAATGTTACGTCACAAAACAGCGCTGCGTTACCTTCTCCACCCGTTCCTCCAGTAGCACTTGCAGTACCAGCAGAGACACCTAAACCAACTGAGATAATTCCTGTGATGCCAGAAGTTAAACCTGCTTTGCCCAACAATCCAGGGACCTATGAAGAGTTACACAAAGCATGCAAAGGTAAATTATGACTATGAGGCCAATTATGAAAAGTGATGTAATTTTAATGAATACAAATAATTTATTCATTTAATGATTTATACTAAAACAGTGTGTCCGTTTCACGTGAGACCTTTGGTCTTGACTGTGAACATTGTGAAATGCACTCATAAAACCTGTCATAAAATCAGCTTGTTTGTCATTTTTGTCTTGTGATATTTTTTGATGGATGCTTGGAGACTTTACTGTTTGTCAATCAATAAATGCTGACTAAAGTGGAAAGAATTTACAAAGCAATACACCCATTGACAGTTCTATATGAACTACATAAATAACCGAGGTATTGAGTGAAAAATAACACAATTTGTTTCCCTTAAAGTTATCTTCGAGTAAAATCTATATCTCTAATGCTAAAACAATACAAATTTGGCAGTTTTTAAACTGCTTGTTTGTGGCGATTTAGTGTCCAATTTTAAAATTTATTGCACCAATGAAAAGCTTGTGATCTAAGCTTCATCTCAGTATATATTATAACACATTGTTTGACACTGAATGTATTTAAAAATTAAATCTACTGTTAAACCTACCACAAGTCAGACTATTTTACATACGTTTTATACATTGAGATACACAACCGGTTATCTTTACTAGCAATTCTACTGGTAAGAATAGCCTGTCGTCTGCTAGTTTGGAAACTGTCAATCCATGTATATGCTCTGCCTACAGGTACATTAGGCGTGATCAATTATCCGCATTAAAGCAGTTTATGCCAATCATTGACAGGTACACTCAATGTTTGCATCTGATAGCTAATTAATACAGGAATCGAAAAAAATTTAAGAGCAGCTCGTCCTGCAGTACAAGTAGCTTCAAATTTCTACTCGACCTGCATGCTATGCTACTTGTCCTACATTTTGGGCACTATTTTTAAGATTATCAACCGCTAGAAATTTTCATAATCAGTTTGTTTACACAAATAAGCCAAAACCTGAAACAAAGCTTGTGCTTTAGGTTATGTATTATACATGTACGTAGAGCATTTTGGAGCACGTTCCAGTGCTGTTGTTTTTCAAGATTGTCTCTGATTTCATTTCAGAAATATTTCCAATGCCCTTTGAAGGCGGTCGATTAGTGATTGGTAAAGGTGTGAGTAGCCACTTTCAGATAAACCACACGCTCACTCTTAGTAACCCTATGGTGTCAGGATATAGATTTGGAGCAACTTATGTAGGAAGTAAACAATTTTCTCCCCAAGAGGTATATGTCAATATTTCAGTGTGTTTTACTGTTTTAACCATTAACCTTTTATTATTTATATTGGTGGCAAAGGCCGATCACTTATGGTTCCAGCAGGTTAAGTGTTGACCTTTTTTCTGCTAATTATATGCCATAGATTTGCTGTCCTGATAGATAACTTAGATGTCAATATTAAAGCAAAAAAAAGTTGAGCTTCCAACTGTATAGAACCTGGTCAGTGTGGTCACACTGCACTTACCAGGCTCTATACTGGTGGCCAATGCTAATCTCTTACCATTTGTTTAAAGGAAGTTTTTCAGGGATGTAGTATTGTATATAATAACATCAGTCTGGGAAATAACTTTTTTTACATCATAGGCCATTTTGGCCTTCAACCCATGCAGAAGTATAGGCCCGGACAGAAAATCACAGGCCCAAAAGATTTTTTTGTGCAAAATAAAGACAACAATTTATTATATGTTTTATTCACATCATTAAGGTTCAATTTATTCACAGAAAATCAGTCAGCATTTTTTCAATAAGATTCTTATTTTGTTTTCTTATATGTACTCAACATTACTCATCAAGCTGCTGCTTTCCACTTTATTTGTTAAAAATATTGACACAAAAAAGGAAGCATTGCATTGATTCAATGAACATATCCTCTTGTTAAACACAACCAATCACCAGTTTCACATCAGATGTTTATATTAGCCATTTCATGTTTGTTGTTCACAAATCTAAATGGGTCAATCTAAAATAAATTTTTTCTTCAACAGAAATTTACCATAACTTGTTCTTTAACCCGCAAACATTTATGATTATACTAGAGCATTGTCCGTATATTTACACTATCTAGCTGTAGATGATAATATAGATAATGCATAAATGATAGACATACAATGCATTACGCATATCTTGTTAGATGTACATATACTGATGAAGTACTTCACAATAATATTTAATTAGGAAACATATTGAAACTAATTTTATAGGACAACACATTCTGAATTCAAAGGCCCGTCGGTCTTACAATCTTTGGATTTTTGCAGGCCCAAATGGGATTTTACCAGCCTCGGGCATCGGGCCTGTGCCTTATTTCGCAGACTGTAACATTAAATAGAAAATTTATTTTTAATATATGATATAAAGTTGTTACTGTCAACCAAAAGAAAATGTTGTGTGACTGACAGCCTGTGGTTAACTTTTTAAGCTTAATAATCACCTGCTAAGTACTAGCACTCTGACTCGTTCGCTCTATTCCTGTCAGGGATGTGGAATTCTGCAAGGTTGCTGATAGTAAATACATATTTCTCTGGCTCTACCTAGATTTCATTGCATGTATAATATAATGTTACTGCAGCTTGCATAATGTTTATATTAAACATTTTCAGAAACTTTAGAATATTCATCAAAAAGTAATGTAACACTGAATCTCATGAATGCATTGCTTACTTGCAGAATGATTGGAATTCCAAAATTAGTTAATGTTCAGCCAGCAAGTCTGTCATATTTCATTTCCATTTCAGAGTTATCCAGTATTACTTGGGGACATTGATGCTAGTGGAAATCTTAATGCTAACATTATTCATGCATTTTCTAGAAACATATTTACTCGTTGTGTTGCCCAGGTAAGTGAAATATTTCAGTTGTTTTCAGTTTGAATGTGTCTGTTTTACATAAATGTTACCCTCATTACTTGCAATTCATATAAAATTGAAAAAAGAAATTTGTTTTCACCTTATCATGATTTTTGTTTAGTAAGAATTAAGAAATAGAATCTAATAATTTTTGAACCCATTAATTTTTTAAACCAAATGATTTTCAGCAGTTAACATATTTTCAGTAAAAAGGGGAAGTTTTCAAGATGCTTATCTGGTCAGTCAGATTTTTTGTACTTTATGATAAATGACCGTTATGGTTTTGATGAATCCAGTGACCAGATTATTTTTAGCTTGACTTTTCAAAAAATTAAAAAAGAGTGGTAGTTAGTCCATTTCAATTTTGCGTGCAAGTTGGTATCCTCAAATACAAAAAGAATGGTTTGAAAAACTTCACACACTTGTACTTTTTGATTATCCTTTTACAATATTTGGTGCAGGCGGTTTATGATGTTTTTGTTTCACATGTTTGTTTTCTTTACCTTACTGTAATGACTGTGAAAGCATCTAAATGATTTAAAAAGGGTATTTAACAATGATTTAAAATGGTGAGATTTGCAATTGTTTTTTCATGTTTAAACTGTCGATTGAAATATGTATTTAGATGGGTTTTTCTTTTCCTACTGTAGTTTCAGGGAGAAAAATCTAACACACAAATGGTAACAGATTATAAAGGCAGCTCATTTACAGCTTCTTTAACTGTAGCAAACCCAGATCTGCTGAATGGTTCAGGTAAGTAAGTCAGTGTCTTAACCTTTAACCTGCTCAGTGTTGCTGGAACTGGTAAGCCTGCATAGCCATGTAGTCTTGTTTTGACATGGCTCTGACCTACCTCAAAATTTTCATCATTATATCCACAAAATTGGTATGGCCTGATTCTTAAATAGAAGCTGGACAGGTCCATGTAAAATATTGAGCAGGTTTAAACAGTTAAACACCCCTAGCTTCTTATCCTTTAGTGCTTATAGACTGGGAATCTTCTAGGTGTGCAATGGTTCAGCTTTCTGTCGATTCGATTTGATTCTCAATTATTTCTTTGCGATTTGATTAATTTTGATTTGATAACTCGGCCTATGTTTGATCCCATGGACTTCAGACTATGTGTGTAAGCTATCCACGTAGCTAGTGTAATGCTGGAGGTTCTACTTGGGTGCCTGTACCTACCTGAATTATGCTCGGAGGAGCACCTGAGGTTTTCCTTCCTACAGTAAAGCTGGAAAATCCCCATATGACCATTACAGTGGTAGTGCAATGCAGTGTTAAAAGCAACCAAAAATAATTAAAAGACTGTGTTACTTGAATTAATAAAGTGTCTGATTAATACATAGATTAAATTTAATTTGTACAAAAGTAACCAAAATTACCGTAGGTAAGGGATAACAATTTTAAAATGGTTGGCGAGTTTTGAATTATTGTTGTGATTCACTCCTGTTAAAAAATGGTAGTCCTTGTACAGATGAGCAGTCTGGCCTGACTCCATGCAAATGGCAACATCTAATAAATGTTGGTTCTAGCCGGTTAAGGGTTAGATTGCTAGATAATATACAGGTAGAAGAGAAGGGGCATGAGAAACATTGCATCTTGGTATTACAAATTTTGATACAACAACAAGTTCCATAAAGGTTCTAAGAAGTGTTATATTTAGGAAATAGATATCAATTCTGAGTGCATTGTTGTAGAATAATGCACGGTTTGAGTTCAAATGCGTAGTAATATAATCACGAAAGCCGATATGCCTGAGTGATTAATTACAAGCATTTGAACCAAAACCCGTGCATTATTATACAATAGTGCTCGAAGAATTAATATCTATTTCCATTCTAATACGTCAAGAAAAAATATAATAATTATTATATAGTTGGACTTTATGTTTGGTGGTTAAATTTGTTTTCGCCAAAAGGCTGTTCCAGTGAGTTGAAAAAACTTTCGTTAAATCTACCGCGTGTAGAAACATTTTGAGAATAACGAAATTTGAAAACGTTTATTTTATTTCACTCTATATTTTTTCAAGGAAAATAAAAATTATTTAAAATGAAATAAATGTAAAACTTAACTTGTTTGCGACATTAAAATAGCATACTTTATTTGTGATTGTTTTGCACGTATTGTTTGGCACTACATTGTGACGTCACGTAAATAACACTTTAAACGTCTGTACAGCGTTAACAACTGAATAAAAGATATTGGTGTTCGGATTCATTTTCTTAGTTAGACCATTTTCTTTCATTCTAGATAGTTTTTTCAACAAAACTCAACAAAAATGTTTTTATTTATCAGATTTTTTAAACAAAATGGCGCCCTCAATGTGAAAATACACAGGGAGCTAATAAGAACGGCGAGTGCTTTGTTGTAGAATAATGCACGCTAACGGCCTTCTTTGTTTATATAGAAAAATTTTTCAATAGTTTTAGAATTTTTATTTGGAAATGTATGAGGTGCTATCCAACTCATGTAGGAGTTTTTATACAAATATTGTACTTTTACACTACATGTAATGTCAAAATTTCCGGGCAGCTTGGATATTCTCAAAATGACATGTAGAATATGTGTACATGTCCAAGCTCACTGCCTGTGATAGCGACATATGTAAATCTTTCATCCTCGGTCTTCTATTACGTATTTCAGGATTGGCAGTCGGCCAATATTTACAAAGAATAACCCCATCATTAGACATTGGTACTGAATGCATGTATCAGAAGGGAGGCCATATTCCCGGTGGTCAAGTTGCTGTGATGTCTATGTCTGCAAGATTAAAGGGTAAGATAATAGCTGTATTTGTTAATAATTAATTCCTCACTACAAAGTGGGGACAGGATGATATGAATGCCCTCTGTCTGTCAAAATGTCTGTCTTTGCTTACATTCAGGTTTTATGTGGACCTAGAAAAAATTGGTTACAGGAAAAAAAAAGAGAAGAATTTTGATGCTATTCAATCTTATTGAGCTTTATATGGCTAATTTGATTTTATGTGGCAAAGTGCCAATATGATAGCCATTTATGATTCAAATGTGATTAAAAGTTCCCATCAGTTACATTGTTAAATATATAAAAAATTCTTTAATGTTAGACACAATACACTGGGAAATATTACTGTTTCTTAAATGGTTAAAATATATTATTATCATAATACTTTCTGATGTGTGTATGTTTTGTATATGCGATATATCTGTCTTGTATGCTATATATGTATATGTAAATATATGTATATGTTTATGTAAATATGGCCAAAGGTATTTCTAGTGCCAATTGCCAAAAGGTTATGAAGCAAATTAACTATTGGGAAGGATTGAAATTACTTTACACAAATGATTGCTACATTGTGCCGAGCTTATCATCCATGGATCCACACAAGAAAAAATATGCATTTATAACTTACCTTTATTGCATTACTTACTTTCTTTGTAGGACATTGTATAGAAAGCAAGTTTTCTGCAAAACATCCTTTGAAAATCTATTAATAGAATTATTGTTGATCTTTGTTTGCCTTTAAAGGCTGTTATTGCCCAGTCTCTATTTCAAATTTGTTTGTGTCTAGATACCATATACAACATGCACATGTGTTACATATAGTGTAGCTGCACATGTTTTATAATTCAAACCACTTGCCTCTCACCACTGTAGGTTCCATCAGCCCAAGCATCATCTGATTCTGCATGTGAGAATGTCAGTGGTTCTACTCGGGTGTCACTTACATCCCAGTTGATCAAGGTCTGCACTACTTAAGTAGAAACAGTTGCCGTCTGCAAACTTAAGGATTAACTCAGTCACATATGCTTTGATTTTGTTTTTACAGGTGAGAAGTGGCAGGGAGTTGGTACAGTGTGTCCAGCAGGGCCTGGTGGGGGAAGTTTGCACACATCTTACAGTCATAGAATCAACGATACCTTACAGATAGGTGCTGAGTTTGAGACCAGTATCGGTATGGGGGAAAGCACTGCCACAGTCGGTTATCAGTTGGAGGTGCCACAAGTAGGAGTCAATTTTAAAGGTACCAACAACTCCTGATCCAAATTTCCAGATATGGCTTTAAATAATATTTATACCCCCACTCATCAAAGTTTGTAGGGGCTATAAAGGAATCACTTTGTCCCGTCCCATCTGAGGAACTGTTAGAGTTACAAACTTGAAACTTTAGTTAATATTTGAATTTATGGTTCAGGTTAGCTGCAAGTTGGTCTGATAATGTATTGATTTGAAAGACAGTATTGCAATATGATTATTTTGTGTTGTTACAATAAACTAAATTCAGGGGATGGCCAAATAAATTGGCCATATTACCTTCAGACTAGTGAAATTTCTCCAGAATTGATTTTATGAATATCGTTCAGATAAAAGCTTAAGGAATGCTTCAGATATAAGGTAGAGAGATACTAGTAAGTTGTAGATTTTGCCGGCCCTAAACATTTAAGGTGACAACGGAGTCGATTATCACTGAAAATACCTAAAATGAGATTTTTTGCCTAGTAGATTTATTAACCTTTTCTGAACACATTTAGTGTTTTTAAACGTTTTAAATCGATTCCCACACCATTTTCATCTGCTATTTGCGTAACCTGTCAATTATCGATAACGCTCTGCCCCCTGTTGAGGCATCAATGAGGGAAATCAGTAGTTCCATATATCCATGAATTACCGCTCGATACTACTCGTAATACATGTATTGTACAAATACTGTACATCTTTTAAGAATATCTCAACATAATATCGTCTACCTTTTATTTAGCATTTTTTTTATAAATTAAGAAATTGTCGTCCAATGTACATAACATAATGTATGAAACATAAATAATTAAGCCATAGGGTTGAAAAATGTAGTTGCTAAAATAGCCATAATGTGTGAAATAATAATTTGTTTGTCCCGTTAATCTGATAGATATTACATTGAGTTTATGGACTTTTGTACGGATTCAAAGGCTTGCTTAATTTACATTCCAAATTGTTTTCTAACAATGTCAAGTAAAACAACAAAAAAAAACAGACATCATTTTTATGTGAACGCCTATATGATTTGTGGTAAGGGATCCCTGACAAATTTCTAAACAATTTTTATGATTGTCTAAGGATGATTATTTTCTATGAATCAATAAAAAAATGATATTACCAGTGAATGCTTTTGTTTGCCAGTAAATCAAACACAGTACTAATAAACCTGGGACAAAGTATGAAATTTATTTTATATCGCAGTAGAAACTGGATCTCTATGCTGTGCATAGATGATATTCATGATAATAGAAGTCGAGAAGGTCAGATCATAATGATCGAGTAATACCTTTTATTTCTATTATTTATATCAATTTGGTGGAAAAAATATAAAATATCCCTTCTTATTTGTACATTTATCACGGTCTTTAAACGACTGTCAGATGCTCAGTTTTTTGTTATTTTAATTTATATATTAACGGAATTTCATACACGAATACACAGGCAGAGGAGTGTATACTGGTATAATATAATAATGATGCTGCTGATAATAATAATAAACTTCAAAAGTGAAACAATTAAATACCCCGCTAGCAGTGCACAAATGCGTTCCATTTCCCCCCTCTGGGTGCCTCAAATGTTACCGATAGTCACGTGACATGTGGGACAGATACCAGACGGACAGTTAATCACGTTAAGATTTAAAGAATTCCTGCTATAAACTGATATTAATCAGCAGCTTTTTAATTGGTCAGATGTCACTGGGTCATAAAATGTTGTTAGAGCATGTTACCGCAACTTGTGACCCTCTCTGGTGCGATATTTGTGTGTCATGCAATTAATAAGCGTGAAATGTAGGGGTCCGAGAGACAACAGCCAATTTATGACACTTCGTTTGATGCGGGTCGGACTAACTTTGAATCGGCATAACTTTTTTAATAATCAAGCAATTAACATGCGGTTTAAAGGACATGAAAGAAGGGTTCATTTACGGAGGGAACCGTGCCAGGGATTTTTGTTTTCTCAATCAGCGACTTAATTATCTTTAATAACGTAATATGTATGGTTGAAAAAGTCGCATAAAATGTTTGACATTATGTAATAGTTTTTTGAGAAAAGATAGAAAAAATTTGAGACACGGTTCCCCAGATATTATAAGTATGTTTATATTCCAAAAGATTGAAGACAAAAGAATAAATTTAAAAAATGACTTTGATATGACGATTTAAAATTGTAGGATTTTTATTCAAAATCAATCATTTACAAAGGCATTTTTTCAAATATGTTATTTTTAGCTCACCTGTCACAAAGTGACAGGGTGAGCTTTTGTGATCGCTTTTCGTCCGTCGTCCGTCCGTCGTCCGTCCGTAAACTTTTACTTTAAATGACATCTCCTCATAAACCACTAAGACAATTTCATCCAAACTTCACAGGAATGTTCCTTTGGTGGTCACCTTTAAAAATTGTTCACAGAATTTAATTCCATGCAGAACTCTGGTTGCCATGGTAACCGAAAGAAAAAACTTTAAATATCTTCTTTTAAAAAACCATAAGAGCTAGAGCTTAGATATTTGGCATGAAACATCTTCTAGTGAGTGTCTACCAAGTTTGTTCAAATAAAAGCCCTGGGGTCAAAATTGGCCCCGCCCCGGGGGGGTCATTGATTTTTCCTATATGCATTTAGTAAAAACTTCAAAAATCTTCTTTTAAAGAACCCAAAGAGCTAGAGCTAAGATATTTAGCATGAAACATGTTCTAATGGGTGTCTACCAAGTTTGTTCAAATAAAAGCCCTGGGGTCAAAATTGGCCCCGCCCCTGGGGGTCATTGATTTTCCCTATATGCATATAGTAAAAACTTAAAAAATCTTCTTTTAAAGAACTGAAAGAGCTATGGCTAAGATATTTAGCATCAAACCTGTTCTAATAGGTGTCTACCAAGTTTGTTCAAATAAAAGCCCTTGGGTCAAAATTGGCCCCGCCCCTGGGGGTCATTGATTTTCCCTATATGCATATATTAAAAAATTAAAAAATCTTCTTTTAAAGAACCAAAAGAGTTAGAGCTAAGATATTTAGCATGAAACATGTTCTAATAAGAGTCTACCAAGTTTGTTCAAATAAAAGCCGCGGGGTCAAAATTGGCCCTGCCCCGGGGGGGTCATTGATTTTTCCTATATGCATCTAGTAAAAACTTCAAAAATCTTCTTTTAAAGAACTCAAAGAGCTAGAGCTTAGATATTTAGCATGAAACATGTTCTAATTGGTGTCTACCAAGTTTGTTCAAATAAAAGCCCTGGGGTCAAAATTGGCCCCGCCCCTGGGGGTCATTGATTTTCCCTATATGCATATAGTAAAAACTTAAAAAATCTTCTTTTAAAGAACTCAAAGAGCTATGGCTAAGATATTTAGCATGAAACATGTTGTAATAGGTGTCTACCAAGTTTGTTCAAATAAAAGCCCTGGGGTCAAAATTGGCACCGCTCCGGGGGTCATTGATTTTCTTTATATGTGTATAGCAAAAACTTAAAATCTTCTTTGAAAAAACCCAAATAGCTAGAGTTTAGATATTAAGCATGAAACATCTTCTAGTGAGTGTCTACAAAGTTTGTTCAAATAAAAGCCCTGGGGTCAAAACTGGCCCGGCCCCAGGGGTGTCATTGTTTTTAACTGTATGTGTATAGTAAAAACTTAAAAAAAATCTTCTTTTAAAAAGCCCAATGAGCTAGAGCTTAGATGTTTAGCATGAAACATCTTCTTATGGGTGTCTACCAAGTTTGTGCTAATAAAAGCCCTTGGGTTAAATTGGCCCTGCAACGTTGGGGGTGGGGGTTAGGGGAGCCTATATACAGGTGAGCGACCTCAGGGCCATCATGGCCCTCTTGTTTATGATTATCAACGACATTTAATGCACAAAGATTAAATAAATAAAAATTATTACTATAATTAGTTGGTTTAAATGACATTTGTGTGAGTATCATGGAAAGTGTCTGTTGTCACCTTAAGCTGTGTGAGTACCACGGAAAGTGTCTCTTGTCGCCTTAAGCTTGCGGCCAATTTATGCTTCCGACTTTATATGTTGACTTTTCCTTCTTTTTCTGTAAATGTGTAATGATTATGTAATTAAAAAGAAACTTGTCGAAATGTTAAATTTAAAACTCATACAATATATAATTAACGTCTTGTCAAATTGGTGCATTCTGGGATTGCTGTAATGTATAATTATACCTGTTAAAGTTACATTTAATGACTTATTTAAAGATGTCAAGTTGGTTACCGTGTCATTTTTTTTCCAGGCCAGGTAGATTCTAATTGGACAATTGCTGCAACTATGGATAAGAAATTATTGGAATCACAAATACCACTAACAGTTTCATTCAGCGCGATAGGAAGCCAAGTGAAATCGGACTATAAATTCGGAATCGGCATGAATATAGGTTAAAACATAATTCTATAAATAGTAACATGGTTCGTTCTTTTTAGTGATCAATCTTCCTAAATGAGTTTTTATTCGGTGTTTTAAAATTGACAATGAGTACAGTGGAGAAGATAGGCATTTCGGACACGTATGAAAGCCCGTGTTCAAAGTGTTCACCCAGTTTGCTCTTTACATTAAACTGGCAAAGTAATCTTGAATTTTATGCATGTATGAGAATATGTATTATGACAATATATTGTTTGTTTTTGTTTACCTGTTTTAAGAGTAAACAGGATTTAGCTTTGATATAGATCATACATTTCATTTGTAAATAAAAAAATTGAAAATTTTGAATTTCTTTTTTTAAAATTATAAAATCTGTTAAGTGCTATATCAAGTCCTGATTCTAGTCATGAGGACTTGTCTGTCAGTTATTACCGTTGAAAGGTTCATAAAGGGATAACCAAGAAATACATTTCAATGATACATACATGTGACAACTAAAATGGGCCAAAACTGGACCGCTAGGCGGAACATTATATGCCCGAAAAGTGTTAGTCTTGAATGAATAAACAAAAAAAATTCTTCTGTAAATCAGCCATCTTTCATTGTACCCATTTATGAAGGAAATACAATGTATACACGAATTAAAGAAATTGATACATAAACACATTAAAAAAAGTATTACTTCCTTCAAAAAGCAATCCTCCTTTATAGCTGAAAAACCTTCATATATATACAGTTGCCATTTCCAAAGCACCACCATCAAGTTGTTATCTTGTAAGTAAAAATGCTAGACGGATGGATGGAAAGACGCCAGGGGTATAACATAATATAAGCAAATTTTTTAGGGCATATAATTAATGTACTCGATATAAGTGATCATCCTATGAAGTTCGACAGTTGTAAAACTGTTAACAATATTAAGATCATTTGATTCCAATATAGATATGGATCTTTTATTCAATATAGGCAATCATCCTATGAAGTTTGAACACATTAAGCAAAATGGAACTTGTGTGATGCTCCAGAAACCAAAATTTTCAGTATTAAGGTCATTGTGACCCTGACCTTCGACCATATGATCCTAAAATCAAAAGGGGTCATGTATTGGACATGGCTGTTCATCCGATAAGATTTTACAGCTGTAGGTTGATTAATACTTAAGTAATTGAGTGAAAACCGTTTTCAGTTTTAAGGTTATAGTGACCTTTAACCTTGTAACCCAAAAATTTAAAGGGGTCTTCTACTCAATATTGACAACACTGTGAGCCAAATGGAACTTAAGTTTTGCTCCAGAAACCAAAATTTTCAGTGTTAAGGTCATGGTGACCCTGACCTTTGACCATAAAATCAATAGGGGTCATGTATTGAACATGGCTGTTCATCCTATAAAATTTTACAGCTGCAGGTTGATTAATACTTAAGTTATTGAGCGGAAAATGTTTTTCAGTTTTAAGGTACTTGTGACATAAAAATCAAAGGAGACTTCTACTCAATGTGGAGAATCATCCTATGAAGTTTGAATATTGTGGGCCGAATAGAACTTGAGTTATGCTCCGGAAAGCAAATTGCAAACGGACGGACGCCAGGGGGTATAACATAATATGTCCGAACTTCTTTCGGGCATATAATAAGTCATTAAGAAGTACAGTGCCCAAGGATCTAACGTTTGAATCATCTTGGAGTTAAAGCCATTTTGTATACAGCATACTTTATTTTTGTTCGGAGCATAGTTTGAAAGGAATTACTTGTATAAAATAAACATCATAGATGAATAGACAGATGATCCACTACAGAAGTTACATTTAACATACCAACAGGTTCAAAATTTTCTTCACCATGGGTATTTAACTTAAATGACTTAGATGGCTTAGAAAAAAGGAAATCTCCTGGAGCTTAGATACTTGGCATCAAGCATTACATAGTTCCCCTCTGCTTTATTTATTTAGATTGTACCAATGCAGTCAAAAAAATAGAGCTAATAATATACCCAGATCTAACATATTTGGCTCAAATTATCACCTTGAAGTCTCTGTATTTTGTATAAATAATGATGAACACGCCTTGGGGAACATGTGCTTAATATAAATTTATTTAGAAAAACGCATATCGTTTTCTCCAAAACAACGTATGGTATGAAAACAACATGTCCTAAAGCATACCTGTTTGGCAGGTAGAACAGCCTAGTGGATCTCTACAAAAGTTATGTAAATCCTAGCCCTTGGGTAAAAAAAGGCGATGCCTCACTTTGACCTGTACTGGAGAATTATGACCCTTTCTATCAATAGATCTCAGTTTAGCGATCAAGGTCCATCATGGTCGTCTTGTTTTAATTTTACATTATTAAAGTACATTATCGTTAAGACTTAATTGTAAACGAAACGAGAATTTAGTTAGAAAAATGCTGATAAATTTGCTTGAATTTAGGATAAGTTCTTAGAATGAATATGAAACACTTTAATTACAACAAATGATAATCAACTTTCAAGGTTTTATTGAGAGATAAAAAACAGAAAAATAATCTGAAGTGCGTACAATCTATATATTTTACAAGCTAAAACTACAGTCTGAGGTGCATACAAAAGATATACTTTTCAAAATTAATAATGAAAAGTTGGTTTCGGTAACTTTACCGAAATCTAAGTTGATTTCGGTATCTTGACGTACCGCTTTTCAAACTAATAAAACTAATCTGAGGGCAAACAAAATATATAATTTCCAAACTAAAACTTCAATCTGAGGTGCATACAAAATATATAATTATCAAGTTAAAACTACAATCTGACAGTGATCAAAACAAACGATATACATATGTCGTTTTCAAACTAAATCTACAATCTGAGATGCATACAAATGATATTTTGTTTGTTTGTTTGATTGGGGTTTACGTCACATCGACACAGTATATGTCATATGGCGACGTTCTAGCTTTACTGGTGGAGGAAGACATCATGAGCGCCCTTCCGTGCATTATTTCAGGCACGAACGGGCACCCGAGTAGAACCACCGACGTTCCGTCAGCTAGCTGGATAGCTTCCTCACATGAAAGAATCCAAATTCCATATCGGTATTCAAAACCACAGTTTTGAGGGACTTAGTGGTTTGAAGTCAACGACCTTAACTCCTCGGGCACGGACGACCCGCATAGAATATAATTTTCAAACATAACTACTCGTAATCTGAGATGCATACAAAATAATTATTTGCACACTTAAAGTACATCCGCATTGTCATACAAAACAAAAGATATACCGGTAATTTACAAACTAAAACTACAATCTGAAGTACATGCAAAAGATACAAAATAGTTTCCAAGAGATATATATATATATATATAATTAACAAACTGATCGTACATTGTGAGGTCCATACAAAAGATATAATTTAACCACAGTCTAAGGTCCATACAAGATAATAATTTAAGTAAAACTACATTCACATGTCCGTACAAAATATCTAATATTTATAAGTAAAACTACATTCCAAATATACAATGTACGTTGTAAGCATTTCTATAGATAATAATATTATAAAGACAAATATGTAATAATAAAAGGATTTATAGCAGATGTGAAATATTTACTAGTTCTTTGAATAGTTCGGACGATGACGTTATAGTGCCATTACTACTAACGGTTTGCGCTGTAATTACATCATTATACGTTATGTTTTTGTGTTGTTTTTTATGGTACCGAATTTAAAGTTAATCTTCATTATAAGATCAACAGACCTTGCATGGTCAATGATTGTCTTTAAAAATAAGCTGGCTGATTTGCAAAGTTACACAAGGAGATTAGTGTATACTTGCACCTTGAGTTCCAGAGTAATTGTTTATTCTATGAAATTTATGCATTATGTTACATTGAGAACTGTCTGGTGTTTTTCTACGCCATTGACATTTTCAGTGCTTCATCGGATGCCAGAAGATGTTTGAACTCGGAGCGAAAGGTTTCGTAATCTTCGTATGATGCTGGCAACTCCATCATGTTTGAACAAGTGTGAACCTTCGGTAATCTCAGATTGCCGGTGGCTCGTGTAAACTCAATAGTTATCTTCTCCCGTGGTACAGATTTCTTTCCTGTTACAAATTGAAGGAACGTCTCAATCTCTGGTGTCGTCATTTCTTTCAACAGGTCTTTAAGAAAACCGAAAACCCTACGTTGCTGTTCAGTCAGCCCTAAGATGGAGTTTGATGTTTTCAAGCGGGCGATTACTCTTTCTGGTGTTGGTTTGAGTGCACGAAAAAGAACACTTAATGTCTTCAAATGGACACTCGACCAGAATCGTTCCATGTGCGATTGCGGTATCCCTGTCCTCATTTTGTCAAGCAATGGTTTTGGACGTATACATAACACATGGCGTGCCAATTGTGTCACGTGATACCTAAAGTTTTCGGCTGTTATTCTAATTGCATATTCGTATCTCTCAAATATGGTCCTTAGTTCGACTGCTTGATCAGAAGTTAAACTGTTGTAACTGTTTATTGCCATGGTAACCAAATTACGATCATGGCTGTCCAGAAAGTACAGGAAATCTTCAAGTAGAATCTCAGCCGAAGCATCCGTTGTTTCATAGATCATCGCAATAATCGTGCTTTTACACATATGTATCGGAAATTCTTTCATAACAGCAATGGAATGAGATAATATCCTGCCAAGAACTCGATATTTTGAATCGTCTGTGAATCTTTGAGGGGGAAGGTACGGCACCACTGCCTCATAGCCAATGAAGAACTCCTCTTGAGCTCGGTACCAAAATGTTGTAAACATATCGTTAGTGACACCACCACAGTCCATGCCTTCCTCACCGATAAACTTCACAGTTATGCGAGACGCTGCCAGATCTTCGTCAGTATAATAACCTATAAGATTCTCTAATATATTTTCTCTTGACACCCGAAGTGGTATGACAGCACCTAACTGACTTTGGAGACTGGTTAGCACTGAAATTTAGAAATCTACAAGTTGAAAACATGATTTCAAATATCTTTTAAAAAGTTGTGTACTGAAAGTGCTAAGCTAGTTGGCTAGTTTTATTTAAAATTATTATTGACCATTCATGCAAAATTTGAATGGCTATTTCTGTTTAATATGTCCTGGTTAATCGCAAATTGTTTACATGTTTAAGAAATATATTCTACCAGGTTAGAGAAAAAATAAATTTTTATTTTGCCATAATTCCTTTTAATTTAATAATTTACATCACATAAACAATAAATAATCCCCGGATTCAAACGAAATTTCTGTAAATATCTTTTAGAATTTACCTGTTACGATCAGTTTATAAAAAGAGTGGGGCAGTCTTTTTATATTTAAGGCAGATTTTAAATTTTATCCAAAACATTTTCCAATATAAACTGTTGGTCTAACACTATTTAAACAGTCAATCTTTTGAAATATAAAGCCAACTCAGCTTAACTTTACTTTGAAAATATGAGCATAATGTCACTTTATCAGAAAGAACAATACAATTATTGCATAAATAATCTTCCATAGTTTTACGTTTTGTAAGTTTTTAAATATTGTATTAGAATTAAGACACACAAGTTGCTGACCGGGACATGATACATACATGACTCGACTTCTCTCAGAACAGTTATGTCATCATTTGTTACTTCTACCCGTGGAGCGCCTCTTTCGGCACCTTGTATACTGCTGAGTAGTTGCGATGTTCCGGCCTCGTTTTCATTTTGGACGAAAGGACTTACAGTGTTTGTTCCTGTAATAGACATAAGTTTATTTTCTAACACGATATGTCTTCAATAAAGAACTGATTTTCTCCAAGATCTGATACGTAACATGATAAGATAAAAAAGGGAATAAGCAAGTATTACATCTTTATAGAAACTGTAAACTTATTACAAAAGGTTTTACATTTCGTGCACATTATTCTCTCTCATAAATAAATACCTACATTGATTTAACTGGTCGTATCGTGGAACGCAAATCAATATCACTTTTGAGTATAAGTACATGGGTATCTTACTTACATCAAGTTTGTCATTGTCATCAGCTCATTGTAAGTTAGTATCCCAGGCGCAAAAAGCTTTCTTTGCCATAAAGGCTTATCAGAGACCTTTTGGTTTCTTTTCTGTTGTTGATTCATTTAAGATTTTTGATTCAATGGTCAAACCGATACTTTGTTATGCATCTCAAATATGGGGCTATGAGTATGTACTAGTAGATACGATACAACATATTCATAATAAACTTTGTAATGGTATTCTATAGATATGTACGTAGAACTACTAATACATGTATGGTTCTTGGTGAATGTGGTAGATTACCATTGTGCACTACATATTTTATGTATTGTCCAGGTCAAGCAAATATAACTGGCAAAACGAACTTGTTTGGTATGAGATAAAACACAACACTTAGGTTGAATGAAATAGGGCATTTATTAAATGCCATAAATGACAAATGTTACATAACATGACATGCACATATTTGTATCGAAATAACCAAACTGGGAGGTAAAAACCGCTAAATGACAAATGTTACGTAATAACAAACATGGCATGTGCATAATTGTATTGAAATAACCAAACTGGGATGTTAAAACCGCCATAAATGACAAATGTTACATAATTACAAACATGGCATGTACAAATTTGTATAAATGCCATAAATGACAAATGTTTATCGAAACAGCCAAAATGGTTAATTAACATCACATGATTTAGGTCTTGATATCGATTGGCTAAGACGTACTTAGCTAAAACCCGACACTTAACAGGTAATATTCTGTACAGTATTAATGAGAAAGGGACCAATGAGCATAAAATCTTATATATATATAAATTGTTTTCGATATTGGTGTAATTAGTTAACCATGTCATCACATAGACATCCAAAGTAATGTTGTACGGTAACATGATAAAATCCCTATATGATGCCGGTAGAATCTGCCAGGCAACCAAAGATAGAACACTTATGTACAAATATGGATTCAGTTTTATACGGATATTTAAGCTAAGATTTTGGCGATGTCAATGCTGTTATTAAAATGTTTAAACAAAGAGTTGATAACTATTGTACACTAGACTCTTGAAACCTCTAGTAGATGTGATCATTATAATAACTTTAAAAGTCTAGTTACTGTTGAAAAATATTTGACAATGGATATTCAGTTGAAACATACAACTGTTATATCAATGTTTTGCCTTTCAAATTATAGGCTGACTATTGAATTAGACAGATATAATAATGTTATGTAAGAAAATCGTACATGTATATGTAACGTTTGCCAACACTTGAATAACACAAAATTTTAATGTAACTGATGCCTTTTTTTTAAATGTGTTAAATATGATTTTGTACGACAAATGTATTTATTTAACTGGTATATGCATGGAACAGAACCTCAAGATTTCTATGCTCTTTTGTCTTCTCAAAACTCTGACATTGTTAAAATATCTATTTATATCTATCAACTTATGAAAATAATGAATGACACTTAAACGTTTGCAATATACAACTTCTTGACATTTTATTATGTGTTTTACCATACGATATATTTTTGGCCGGAGGCCTTTATGTACAAATAAATTATTTGAGTTGAGTTGGGTTGAGTTAAGTTGAGTAAGGAGAACTTACCAACATGAACTCAACTGTATCAAAGTTTGGTGAATATGTCAATAACTGATTTTAGAATAAAAGTTCTTTGGATTAGTTAGCACTGCCTAAAACATCTATAAAAAAGTTTGGTTAATCTATCAAAAAAAGGTAACACTACCTGCACTCTGCCCGCCGTGTAACTCATAGTTCTGTCTAGACTCTTCCATTGCAATACGTTCCAATGCTTGTTGTACTCCGTCCGAACGAAAATCTCGTTCAGAGGGTACTTTAGGTTTAAAGAGAAAATAAATTAAACAGTTATAACAGTGGCAACATTTCTTTAAAAATGCTTATGCGATCAATTACTATACAATGTAGTTTGTGTGATAATTTATAACATATTTATCAATTTTTTTCGTCATTTATATTTTTTTTCAAATGTTACTGTATTCATCTTTAATACTGGGGTCATATATACATGTACTTGTAATAGTTTCTGCGGCTACATTAAAATTGTGCGTCATTTATAATTTGTTTCTGTGGTTATTTAAAACATTTTGCGTTGAGCAGTTACAGGGCAGATTCAAGTGTTAACACCAATATTACCAATGGGGGATAACCCTTGCACATTATGGTGTATGTGTTGCAATACCCTCGATTACTCTCCCTTTGTAAAAACTTGTGCTTTGTCTCTAAAAAATATATCTGGAAATGCGACAAATGTAATTGTTTATATGCAGACTTTGTGCAACATCATATATGCTACTGTCCTAAGAATCTAGACACGCGTAAAAGATTATGGGGGGCTGTTATTTTGAAAATCTTGGGTACAGCAGATACATTTCATTTATACAGTTGTTACCGTCAGACCAGAGTAGCAACAAGGCAAACTTTAAATATTCTATACTCATAAAGCTATTGTGTGAATAACTTTAAAACAGACATGTGCATGAATTATGGAGTGTGAAATTTAGTGCATATAACTGACAGAATTGAATTTAATTATTGACCTGTATTTATACTGGTTCAAACAGCTTTCTCAAGTGTTTTCTTGTCATGTCTTATTGTTAATAGCTATTGATAAGATTACTGGCACGGAGAGAATGCAAATTATTTAACGTATAGACCATTTTGCAGACTTAATTCCTTAATTACATTTGCTTATAATATCAATACTGACTTTATGAGGCGTATGTTGGGTTCAAACTATAATGATTTAATAGTTTGTGATCTTTTAAAATATGTTTTTTCCCATTGGTTTATTAGAAGAAGGTTTACATTTTGAGCAACTTGATACATGGAAATATAGGAACCATTCCGGGGCTAATGATTATCTGGATGAGATTAATAAATATCTGGGTAAAGAAAGTGATACTTTTTGCATTTTAGGTCCATTTAAGAGCAACCCCTTTACTTCGGGGTTGAAAATTTCCATTAAATTCTGTTCCTCAAAAAGATACTGATGAAAGAAGGATTATTTTAGACTTGAGTATGCCAAAAGGTAATGCTGTTAATGATTTCATTGATAAAGATATATATTTAGATAAGCATGTTGATTTGGTATTTCCTAGAATAGATGATTTTGTTCATTTAGTGAAATCTAAAGGTCAATGATGTTTAATGTTTAAAAAAGATTTTCGTAAAGCTTTTTCAGACAGATAAGTATTTGTCCAAGTGATTATAATTTAGTTGCCTTTTGTTGGAAAAAAGCACATATTTTGTGATACTGTTTTGAGTATGGGCCTTAGATCTGCGGCTCATATATGTCAAAGGGTTACAAATGCTATAGCTTTTATTATGTATAATATTGGTATTTGTATACTTAATTATCTTGATGATCTAGCTGGAGTTGAAACAAGGCAAAATGCGCCTTTTGCATATAATTGTTTAGGTCAAGTCTTAAGGGATTGTGATTTTATTGTGTCAGTTGATAAAGCTTGTCCACCTTCGGAAATAATGATTTTTTGGGGTTCTTTTTAATACGAATTCAATGACTATGGAGGTTACTAAAGAACGATTATTAGAAATTAAAAATTTAATTCAGGTATGGTTACACAAAACAGAAGCAATGCTTAGAGAAATACAATCACTTATTGGTAAATTAAATTTTGTGGCTTCATGTGTGCGGTCAAGCAGGATTTTATAAGCAGGCTTATTAACTGGCTTAAAGATTTGTATAGTTATTTTCCACATATTTACGTTCCTATTCCATCTGAGGTTAAAAAAGACAATCTTTAGTGGCATAAGTTTTTACAAGAATGCAATGGAGTTTCTATTATGTAATATGAGAATTGGTCAATTCCAGATGCTATTTTCTCAACGGACGCGTGTTTAACAGGCCGTGGTGGTTTTTACAATGGAAAATATTTTCATTCTGATTTTCCTGTAAATATTTCTAAGCAAAAATTTTCTATAGCAGTGTTAGAATTGTTTGGCATTATTCTTGCTTTAAGACTTTGGTCAAATGAATTTAAAGGTAAAAGGATAGTCGTTAATTGTGATAATGAGGCTGTATGCTCAGTCTTGAATTCTGGTAGAGCCAGATGTTCAATGTTACAGGATGGTTTGAGAGAAATTTGTTTTTCAACAGCTAAATCTCAATGTGAAATAAGAGCTGTTCATTTGTCAAGTATGGAAAATCGAATCTCTGATTGTTTGTCTCGTTGGTCACAGCATGATAAATTCAAAGATGATTTTTTCCAGTTAACAACTGGATTTTATTTAGAGTATTGTGAGGTGGTGGATCAAGATTTTGTTTTTGTTAATGATTGGTAATTTTTCTTTTTCTGTTTTTTTGTAGATCTACAGTTGAAGACTCTCATGTCTGAGTTGAAACTGTCAAATATTTGAGCATATGCTGAAGGTAGTAGTAAGAATTTAAAAATTCATAGGGAATCGTTTATTTTATTTTGTATTTATTTCAAATTATGTTATTTACCGGCGAGTACAAACACTCTTCAATTATATTCTCAATTTTTGAGTCGTTCTTTTAAATCAGTGTCTAGTATTCGTAATTATTTAAGTGGGATTAGAACTGTTCATCAGTTACTGGGATTTGATTTAAATGAAATGAACACTTTTCTGGTTAATTTAACTCATCTCGGCATTTCCAGATTGAAATGTCACTGTGTCAAACAAGCCGAACCTATAACTTCTTTCATACTTCACATTTTTTTTTTGGCCTTAGACTTCAAAGACTCTGAGAATTTGATTTATTGGTGTCTATTTATATTTTTTTTTCCTTTTTTCTTACTTGCTCGCAAATCAAATTTAGTTCCTACCACTAGTAAAGATTTAATTAATTTCTCAGGGTCAAGTAGATTTAAGATCTTCATTCATTATTTTACATGTGGGCACCATTGATGTTACTGGTCCCCGTTCAGAGGATGAGATTATTTCATACTTAAATGATTTGATATCTAACGTTCGACTTCAATCTACTGATAGCATTATTGTATCTGCGATTATTCCTCGACCAATTGATTTTGAGTCCACTGGTAATAGAGTTAAAAATTTAAATAATAAATTTTAGTTTTATTATGCAAGACCAGAAAGGTTTCATTTATAAGAACCTTCAAGCCGTTTCTTAAATGCGGTATACCACGCTGTGAATATTATGCCATAAATGATGGGGTTTATATCTAAATCTTGAAGGGACCCGGCGTTTAAAGGAATTCTTTATTAATACTAATATTACGCACTTAAAATAATAATTGTTGGATGACACTTACAGGAAACATTATGTTTTATTATTAATAATCTAAAATAAGTTGTTAAAAGTTCTATTAGTAGAAAATGCTGACTTTATGCTTTTGCTTGAGACACGTCGTTTCTCATGAAAGGCTTAATCTTACAATTCGGTATTGGCCGGCATTGAAGGTTATTACTACTAAGGAGATAATATGTAAGTCTCTTATTGGGTTATTTTCGGCTACTCATGTGTTTTGATGAATAGTGAGTTTTATTTTTGATTCAGTTGTTTTCTTGATTGAATTCCTTTACTTCAAATTATGTTCTTAGTCTTTGCATAAGAAACACTGTTTCTCAGGAAAGACTCTATCTTGCAAGCTGGCAATGGATAGTTTTGAAGGTTATACTACTAAGGAGGTAATAAGAAAGCCTCTGTGTAGGTTTGTTCATAGTTTTTTAAGTGTATTTATATGCTCTTGCTTACTTGTTTGTATTTTTGGCCGTGGGTTTGGCTTTATGGTAAATATTACTCTTGTAGTAATCATTATGATCACAAATAGACGTTTAAGCAATGTTTGATGTGAGTTATAAATGTCTTAAAGGCATAATATAGGTTTTCTCATACAATGTTTGTATTAATTTGTTGATGCTCACTTGTATAAGAAGTAGATGAACTGTATATGTGATTTATGTTATAGATACAAGTACATGTGTGAATTTGATTCATGTGATCTTTCAATTGCCTAAAATATGTATTCATATGACTGAAATTTTCGTTTGTTAACTATAATTTGGAATTTTGATTTAAAAATAGCTGAATTATAAGGTTGAATGAAGTTGACCTTTTCAATGGGTTTTCATTAGTCGAATTTTGTTTACGGTTTACGTCAGCAATAAACATCTTTTTATTGGTCGCTTCTGATTTTGGCTGTAAATATTTTTGTCCATCTATTTCCTGGACATTTTTGTCATTCTGTATTTCTTTGACTAAGAGATCACATGTTTTAAAAAATAAAAATTTCCCACCCTTCCCTCCCAATTAATATGTTGACAGTTAATATTATATTATATATTATATTGATTAATATATGTATTTTATTAAATTGAGACATTGCTTTATGGTAAATATTACTCTTGTAGTAATCATTATGATCACAAACAGACGTTCAAGCAATTTTTGATGTGAGTTATAAATGTCTTAAAGGCATAATATAGGTTTTCTCATACAATGTTTGTATGAATTTGTTGATGCTCACTTGTATAAGAAGTAGATGAACTGTATATGTGATTTATGTTATAGATACAAGTACATGTGTGAATTTGATTCATGTGATCTCTCAATTGCCTAAAATATGTATTCATATGACTGAAATTTTCGTTTGTTAACTATAATTTGGAATTTTGATTTAAAAATAGCTGAATTATAAGGTTGAATGAAGTTGACCTTTTCAATGGGTTTTCATAAGTCGAATTTTGTTTATGGTTTACGTCAGCAATAAACATCTTTTTATTGGTCGCTTCTGATTTTGGCTGTAAATATTTTTGTCCATCTATTTCCTGGACATTTTTGTCATTCTGTATTTCGTTGACTAAGAGATCACATGTTTTAAAAAATAAAAATTTCCCACCCTTCCCTCCCAATTAATATGTTGACAGTTAATATTATATTATATATTATATTGATTAATATATGTATTTTAGTAAATTGAGACATTGCTTTATGGTAAATATTACTCTTGTAGTAATCATTATGATCACAAACAGACGTTCAAGCAATTTTTGATGTGAGTTATAAATGTCTTAAAGGCATAATATAGGTTTTCTCATACAATGTTTGTATGAATTTGTTGATGCTCACTTGTATAAGAAGTAGATGAACTGTATATGTGATTTATGTTATAGATACAAGTACATGTGTGAATTTGATTCATGTGATCTCTCAATTGCCTAAAACATATATTCATATGACTGACATTTTCTTTTGTTATTTCTTCTGATTGAAACCTGATAATTCATCTTAATTTCGTTTTCGACAAGATCATTTAACTGGAGATCAGTCTGTACCATTGGTCATTATAATAGTGGACTGAATTTATTTTACTTATCATTAATTTGGATTGAATTATTTACATGGTTTGTACGGTATTTTATTACACACCAATGATTATAGTGTCGATGGGTCAGTTATAAACGCTCCTGTTGTCATTTATACAATATAAAAAGTAATTCTTCCATTGTTTAACATTGGAATATAATTTATCTAATGCTAGTCCACGCCTAAAGCTGCGTTCTCACTTACTCCCGGTAGAGCCAAGGACCATCCCGGTAAGTTACCGGGATGATCCGGGACGATCCGGGGTGAAATTATTGTTGCGGTCACACTAACTCCGACAGCACTACGGTAATTCCCAACTTACCACCCAGGATGCGCTTCGGATCATCAAGGCAGAGCCCAGGTGAAGCTCCGGTTCATGCCGGTGCTTCCCCGGTCGTTCCCGGATGACACCGGAAGAGCCCCGGTTGACCCAGGCAGAGCCCCGGTAGAACCCCGGTAGATTGAAAACGCGCGAAAATGATTACATTGATACATAATTTTTATTTAATATAATATCTATCGTTCAAGAATAGTAATACAAAAAGATTTTCTGAAAAAACCCTTAGCAAGATTTATACCGGGGCTCTGCCTGGTTCAACCGGGGTTTCCCCGGCTCATAAGAAAGGAAACACCGATAAACGGTTTTTCCCCTGGGTTTTGTTTGTGGAGCCATCCATTTAAACCTTTTTTTCTGTACAATCAAACTTCTTTAAAGAATTCTATAAGAACAGAAATCCAGATGGAAATAAATTTCAATTACATACTGTTAGTGAAGAATATATATATAAAGAGCTTTGTAAATTAAATTTTTCTAAAAGCACAGGATTAGATGAAATTCCAGCAAACTTTCTTAAAGATGCTGCACCATTTTTAAAGATACATATTGCCTTTTTAGTGAATAATTCTATTACATCTAAATCAGTTCCAAATGAACTGAAATGTGTTAAACCATTATTCAAAAAGAATAACAGATCTGATGTTTCCAACTATAGACCTGTCAGTATTTTATCTATTGTTTCAAAAATCTTAGAAAGAACTGTATATTATCAGTTAGAAATTTTTTTAGTTAAGCAGGGACTTTTATATGAATTACAAAGTGGTTTAAGTAATTATTCTACTGACTCCTGCCTAATCCATCTCACTGACCATGTATAAAGTCAAACTTCCAAAGGACTGCTCACCGGTATGATTATGTTAGATTTGCAAAAGGCGTTTGACACTGTGGACCATGACATCTTGTGTAAAAAGTTACAAAAAATGGGTGTGGAGTCAGTAGAATGGTTTCAATCTGATTTAACTGGTCGTAGATAAATTGTAAATGTAAATAATACTATGTCTAAAGCTATGAATATTACATGTGGTGTTCCTCAGGGAAGTATATTAGGTCCTCTATTGTTTCTATGTTATGTCAATGATATGAGTATTAGTATTAGCAAAACATGTAAGCTTATTCTTTATGCCGATGATAGTGCAATTTTATATTCACATAAAGATACAGATGTTATTTGTAATGTTTTGGGTAAGGAACTAGAAAATTGTAGTAAATGGCTTGTTGATAATAAGCTATCATTACATCTTGGTAAAACAGAATGTATTGTTTTTAGTTCTAAGAGGAAATTGTCAAAACTTGAGCAGTTATAAATACACTGTAATAATCACACCATACAATCTCAGCCATCAGTAAAGTATCTCGGTTCTATCTTGGATAATGATCTCTCAGCCACTTCTATTATTGATAATATAGTACAAAAAGTAAACTCTCGATAAAAATGTTTGCATAGACAAGGCAACTGTTTGAATTAGGAGCTAAGAAAACTATTATGTAACTCTTTAATACAGTGTCACTTCGGTTATGCCAGCTCATCTTGGTATAGTGGCCTTACTAAACAACTTAAACATAAACTTCAAGTAGCACAGTTGTTCGTTATATTCATGGTTATTCCTCTAGAAAATCATTGAAAGTTATTGGTTTAATAGTAGTATTGGGTGGCTTAAGTTAGAAAATCATACAGTTAAGACTCAATCATGTACACAACATATTTAATAAAAAAGTCTGATGTTCATTGTTATAATAGTAGAAACAGTGTAGGGAACTTTCATATACCCCATGTTAATAGTTTTACAAAAAGCACATTTTTTACCAGGGTATTAGGGATTGGAACATGCTCCCACTTGATATTAAAAAGGAAAGTAACTTTTTTAGCTTTAAAAAGAAAGTAAAAGCAGAACTAAGCGAAAATATGAAACAATTTGAACAAGCAGATTTTATTTTTTATTAATTTTAGAGATAATTGTTTGAATCAATAGTATGTTTTATATAAATGTATCTTGTGATTGGTTTTGTGATATATATAAATAGATATCTTTCATTGGTGTGATAACTAGTCACATTCATAGTATTATTCCTGCAATATGTGATATATGTAATTAACATAATGTGCAAAAGAAATTAATATTATTTGATCTTAGAAATATAACATCAGTCCAGTATATCATCTCTAAGTATGGACCTGAATGCCAGTTCTCAAGAAAATATATTTTTACCATCAAAGGACCCCATTGGAAATAAGTTCTCTATTTTATATTGAACTTTCATGGGTTATCCTATGTTGTATATATTGTCTTGAAGTCAACAATATCTTTGATTTAATTATGAATGTTAAGTTTTCATTTTTTTAATTAATTACTGTGTTAAAACTATGTGATAGATATATCTGTGATTAATTTGCCTTAATTTGTTTTGTAATTTGACATATAAATACACACAAATAAATAAATCAATCAATATATTGCTACATTGTTACATTATCGCATTGTAACATCGCCGCATTTTTACATTATCACATGACTATATTGCTACATATTCACAACAAAGAAATTTCACATTGGTTATTATTTGTTCACCAAGTAATTATCTTTTTTAGTTTATGTGTAGTTAATTAATAAAATTAACAGTAATGAATTGTTTTCATAATGGCCTTGTTATTGGGCTTTAGACTGTCATATTAGCCTGAGGCCGAATATGACAGTCTTCAGCCCAATAACCAGGCCATTATGAAATCACTTCATTATTAACATTATAATAAAAAGTAGACCAAACAATACAAACAAACATTGTGGTATCAAAAATAATTGTTACTTACATCCGTCTGTTAGAGAATGTGTTCTTTGCCGCCTTCTTCGTATACTACAATAAACACAATATTTTTGTTAATGCATTATTGTTAATACAGTTATAGTTAAGAACGTATTTGGACTTTTTCTAAATTTAAGTCGTGATTCATTAAATTTTGAAAATAGATTAAGATAAAATACGTTTAAGAATATTTTGTTAATGTACTCACTGTGTTTGATTTATTGGAAATATTTGAATATTATGTGAAAAGGTACAATAAATAACATCAAACTTGCACTAAACTCATCGATAATTTTAATGCCACGAAAAAGGTTTAATGAAATTAAATGTTCCATACTCCATATGACCATAGTTTGTACTTAATTATTATTGGCCAAAAGCAAAAACAAAGACATCTTTTTAAGTTGGTAAAAGAGTAATACGAAGTAATATATGATAAAGAAACATGATTATAAAAGAATCAGTTTAACTTTTCGCACACATTTTTTTAAATGAAAAAGAAAAGTGAATTTGGGATAAAAGATCAAAATTCAATCACTGGTATCATAAACAGAAAAGGAAATGACTATGTGAGATTTTCCATGAGTCATAGTATAATACGCCGCCACTTCGTTACACAACATTATTTAAATTTCAATGTAAAAGATATAGACTGAAAATATGTTCCATGCCACAGTATAATCATATAGATGTCAAAATAAAAATAAAACTGCGAAGGATGAAAAAAAAAAAAACATGCATCACATATTATCTTTATTTCGTTCAAACAATTTTCGTGAAATATCAGTATCATTTCGTACATATCGTGTATTATTATTTCGTTGAAACGAATTTCGTGTATTATTATTATTTCGTTTAAATGAATTTTAATTTTTGTTAATACAATGTATAGTATAGTAATGTCATATAATAGCTGAAAAATGCTAAATAATTGTATCTTTTCAAAAGTTTTTTTTTATTCTATTTTTTTTGTATCTTGTTAACAGTTTAATTAGCTATATATCTGAGCTATCTGCTAGGTGATTTAGAATTGTGATTTAGAATTGTGTATGGCAGTCAAAATACCACTTTGTTTACATTTTGCTACCTAATTACAAATGATTTTATATTCACTTAAGGCAATACATCCTTTATTTCAATGAACCCACAATGCTTGCTTTTCTCCGTAAAGGGAAATTTTCCCATTTCTGAGGAATAATGTGCTCCACAAAATGACGTATAAGTCAGTGTAAAATGAAAAAGGGGAAAACTTAAAAAATTGTCTCCATGTGCAAATTCTATTTAACCAAATAAAAATGTCAAAGTGCAGTGCAGCAAAAAGGATGACAGAAAGAAACTTTGCTCCCATGTGAAAGATGTAGTGACAGCTACTTTGATGTATGTTGTAAATTGCGAAAAGGAAGGCTTAAATTCCTCGTTTCCATGGTGAAAAGTCTACTACAAGATGTGATTTTAATGACCTTGAAAGAAATTTTCTTCACGTATAAAATAATGATAAATACACATTCAGATATCAAAATGTAGAAATGTCAAATAATTACTTACATTAACAGCGTTATAGAAGTAGCTGAAACTCAAACAAAACCAAATCAAGATTATGGTTCTTAGATTATTTTTGATGAAATAAATGCTATAATATGACTTTGCGAATAGGTGAACCGTATTGTCTAAATATGAACCAAATCCATTAAAAAATACAAAGTTATGACAATTAAAGCAAATTTCTATAATTTGTCCCATCAGGGTCTTTAGACCCCGGTCCCATGTATACACAGGTAAAATTGCACTACATGTTAAACGTATGTGACATACATGTTTTACATATGGTAGAAACATATGGTATCTCCAAGAAAAGTATCCCATATGTTTTACATATGGTACAGACACATGTTTTTCATATGGATACACATGAATAACATATGTTTTTTCATACGGTTGGACACAGTGTTTTTCCAAGAAAAGGACACTGTATGTTACATATATGGTATACATGTAGACTTATGTTTTTCACATATGGATTCACATGAATCATGTTTTTCATTACAAATGGTAAATTGTTTTCCAGAGTTGGGGTTGTTTGAATTTGATAATTCATAAGAATTTTACTGTTTAATGTTCAACATCATTTGCCGACCAATAAAATCGCTCCGATTTTCAAAACTTCTCTTTTTAATTGAAAAGACATGCATATATTGTCACTAATTTATTAAGAATTTGAAACGAAGTGTTCATGTGTAAGCGAGAACTTAGTCAGAGTTTTTTTTTTTCGCTTCAGTTCCACAAAAATGAAACCATATTTATTCAAAAAATCATTATATACATCATATACATGTATATACATAATTATAAATATAAAATCAATATGGATAATATTTTTTTGGAACCACGTTTAAGCTCGTTATTTACATTTTCTACCTTGACTCAACCAGAGCCCGAGCTCCGGCCCAGAAGCTCACATACGGTCTTCTTGCGATAACATACGCCCCAGACCGTGCCAGGTCCCGACCCTCGACCTCTAGTTATGGTCGGGAGTCAGGAGTACCACCGAGTTCACGATTTACAGGTGGCAAAGACCACAATTCCCACTATCTTAATATCTATAAAATAATGCAGATGCAGAACAAACATTTAACTGCTTAAAAAATAAGTAGGAAAAAAATCGTTTTATTATAATAATTCTATTCATCTTAGTACATAGATTTACTAATGTATAATTAACTTTATTGATTTGTAGCTAAATATGTATGTTGATATAAACTTGTAAATTTAGATTATTTCTAATTCTACATAGTAAATAAAAATGATATCTATCATATCTGGTCAAAAGGTTCTTCAATTACCGCTTTTAATGTCGGTATCGTTTTTTGAATAATTGCTTGGTGAAAATACAGACAAACACAAACATTTTGGTCATTTTGAACTAACATATACATACATCACAAATGAAGTATGCTTATTATTTAATCATAAATTGAATGATGCAACTGATAGATGATATTGTGCTCCCTTTACTCCACCCATTGTATTGTCAACAACTTTCTATAGGCTTCAGGCATTCCAGCTTGGCCACTAAGTAAGTTAGCTTTTATTAAGTGAACATTTTAACAATTAAGAACCCACGGTCACTCGCTACGGGTCACTTCGTTTTGGGTTCTTGATTGTTAAAATTTTACTTAATAAACACTAACACACAAAGAGAGAAAAAATCATGAATAAAAATGAATAGTAGACTATTCTCCCATAACCAGTCCATCATCCTGACGATTTACCCATGAACTGTTGCTTCCCCTGGCCGTTCTTCCCTAAATTTAAAATGATAGTTTCCGGTGGGTGAACAGGGTAGACGCCATTTTTTAACCGAGAAAATTTGAAACTTAAATTTTGGATATAAAAGTTATTTGGACTTAAAAAATGGATTATGTGTGCTCAAAAGGATTCGTTATTAGAGGATGAAAACCTGAATATGATGGGGTCCAGATTTAAACCCTTGAGAGATGATTTTCACGAAGTCAGGTATGATAGAAAACGTCAACGTCACCACACGGGCACCCCACCCACATCAGACCATCCGAACTTTGATAAATTTTATAAAGCAAGGCCTACCATGAATGACTTTAAATCGCTATCAAATGATGAAAATTTACTTCAATTTATGATGTTATGTCAACGCATCTTGCACCATTGAAAATGAGAGTGGACGGTGTTGAATCGCACATGTATATGAATACGGCCAGGTTGGACATTGTAGATAACCGGTTATGGTTACTTGAATAAAAATCTATTGAACATGAGGTGCGTGTGAGATCCAGTAACGTAGTTTTCGCGGGTATTCACGAAAATTATGATGAAAACTGTGTCATTAAGATTAGACAATTGTTACGAGAGAAACTGTGCCTAGACACGGGAAGGTAGTTATCAGACGCGCGTTTCGAGTCGGCAGACGCAAATTTACTGAAACAAAAAAGAAACTTTCTCCAAGTTTGAATGTAGATATGTTAGTACAGTTTTTCAATCCTTTTGAAACTTGATTTTTACTTTGAATAAACATATCGGGCTTTTATACGGGGATAAGCTGACCGATTTTGCAAACAAAACGAGTTTTACAAGCTAATACATGTACACTTAACAAATCTTATAAGTGTGCACCTTTTATGTCCTTATAACTTTTTCGTTTATCAATATATTTTTACAAAAAATTGTGTTCTGACTATTGGCTGCATTTCCACACATTTCATGTGCTCAAGCATGTCAATTTTAATTATGAGGTGCGTTCAACCATGAACGAACGAAATTCACACAATGCACGAGACAATTGTGAGAATGGGTGAAATAAGATTGCACATGATATTCTCGGATACGATAGAGATCGACATATCAGAAAAACACCACATGGGTAGATTATCTATACAACAGCGTGGTATAGCCCTAAGATTGATTAACGCTGGTGTACACCAAACAGAGGTTGTTAATATAATTTATTTGTTTAAATAATTATTTTAATTCCTTTGCATTGTAAAAGCCGAAATCATTTAAATTCAGTTTCTATCAAAGCCGAACATAAAATGCTTATTTTTATTTAGTTATTACTTGTCTGTATCATTTGTAGGTTGCGCCTGGCATGGGTGTACACCAAACTACCTGAGACGACTAATCATTAAGTACAAAGCAACTTCTTTGGTAACCTAGCTTCCTCATAAACCAAAAATTTATCTACAACGTTATGTAAGATCGACGTGACGACGCTGTCGGGCTGTAATACACAGTCAGGGTGAACACACACAGTATAAGGACATTATTTTGCAACATCGACTTTCGACACGCATTCACATTTTTTAGAAATCAAATCTTAAATTTGTATCTTGAATGAAAAGTACTTAATAAAAATGATAACATGTCTCTTTTCTGTATTTATTGAAAATTTCAGCATGATCGGGCAAATATTGATACACCTATGAAACCATTTATACATGCACACTTATAAAATTTGTTAAGTGTATATAAGTGTGTACATCTAAGTGGTACCCTTGAACAACTGGCACATACTTTGCGAAAGTTTCTTTTTTGGTTTAGTATATATACAGGGCCGCGAAATACCAAGGCAAATTGTCGTCACGTTTGCTGACCCGCACGACGTCGAATTGGTTATTGACAAAATCTCCAAATCTTAAAGGTAAAAAACCGAATATCAGCTAGTATAAAAAGAGATTACCCTGCAGAAATATCCAATGCAAGGAAAGAACTTTGGCCGCTTTATAAAAAGGCGAGGGAGACTCACGGTGTTAAAAATGTCAAGTTCAAATTCCCGGCGGCAATCGAAGTGAAAGGGTCCATAACACATGACAAATTCCCTGACTGGTACCCGGTATTAAGAGGATTGCGACATGAGAACGTCCAGGAGCATGTGTCTCTCTCACTTAAGGCAAATATAGAAAAATACACCGAATTCTGGTCCGGCCATATGAAACCTACTTATCAAGCAACAAATACGCCCACGAACAACATTAACACTTCAAATGTCGAAATAATCGAATCGGAACCAGCGCAGACCACATCTCAGCAAAATATCGACGCAACCGTACCGTGTCGATCACGCAGTAGCATTTCACCCATGACATCGCACGATGCGGAGATCGAACCCCGTCGTTCTTCAAAACACTCGGGGAAAACTTCAGCAGCAAAATCGTCTACAGTGGACAAACATCACAACCCAGCATCAAAAGATGGGTTGTTATCTAATCAACCCAATAACGTTACGTTTAGCGGTTCGGGCTCCGACAGTGACAATGAGTACAATAGGGGGAAACAACCATGGTGGGATTTATCCCATTCATAAAAACTGTCATACCGTTAATTTACTACAAATGTAGTAAACACTGTTCTGAAATTTCTAAACCAACCCAGTCGAATAGTGTAGCATTTTTCTGATAGTCTCCCCCCGTATGTTAGGAAAACAATTGTAATAACTATATAATTATGAGGTTAATTAACTTATAATAATGTTAATTCAATCCACATGTTTATCAAATACCCTGTTTACTACCAGTTTTGTAAAATATGTATGTTTGTATTTCCACATCATGTTGTTATATGTGACACATGTAACCTGATGACCAATGACGGCATCTGTCTGTCTGTCTATCAGCTGTCCCTCCAAAAAGATATTTATTATTTATTTATTTTCTTTTTTATAATACTGCACGTTTGTAACGTCGCTTTTCATTAGATAATCGTGACGATTATATAGTTTTATATACAAGGCTGATGTCGATTTATAAAGAAATCTCGCTTTATCCTCTAAAATAAATGCTTGTTGTATTATAAATTCGTTATAAATATTTCTGACAGGTTAAATGGCCATATATAAAACGGTTATTTGCAATATAAATCTCGCCTAGCGGCTCGGTTTTTATTTATAAACAACCGTTTATATAGGGCCATATAGCCTGTCAGAAATCTTTATAATTAATAGTAAAAAGGTATTTCATTGTTATTGTTTTTTCAACATGATAAGAAGTATTGGAAGTGAAGGCAACTTTTTCCCCATGGATTTACTACATTTACAAGTTGCACATATATGCATGAACCAAGAATCTTTTAAGAAATTATGTTTAATCATGTAGAATCTAATTAAGACTGTCCAAAGTGTAAATCAAATCTTCCAGAATATATGATCATAAATTTATCATATGAAAAACACATGAAATTTCACATATATTTAACATGTTAAATCTTATTTAGATGAAAAACATTTGATAACCATGAGTTTAATATATGTTTGTTACACATGTTTTTCACATTGACCTGTTTAACATATGTTATTTTACATATAAAAAACATATGTTCTTAAACACATGTTTTTCAAAACATATGAAACATGTGTTTATAAACATACAACAAACATGTGGTGCATTTACCTGTGTAAATAGAATATTGTATTCGTGTAATTTCAATACTGAATTAATGAACTCGTTCAATAATATAACATAAAACTTTATTCAACTCGTTCAATAAATTCAGTATTGAATTTATACTCATTCAATGGCCTATGTAAAATTATGTAGACAACAACGGATACGGGAATGAAATGCATGACTGTAGCAAGTAGCTCGGACTTTGTCTTCGAAAAAGTCGAGCTAAAAGGGTTTTGAGGGTCAAAGGTCAAGGTAATGTAATATCTTTGTCGAAACTTAATAGTGGCAGTGTCCATGCCAAATATATGACCCCTAACGAATTGAAGATAAAATGTCAAAGATCAAGGTTTAGTGAAACCTCGTGTAAAACGATCGAGACTAATTACCCTTGGTTTTAGAAACTTTGTAAACCACAGTGACACTTGTGTAAAATACTTGTGTTATGGTTGATAAAGCATTGTTCTGGTTAATAAAGCATTGTGCTGGTTGATAAACCATTGTTCTGGTTAATAAAGCATTGTTCTGGTTGATAAACCATTGCTCTGGTTAATAAAGCATTGTTCTGGTTCATAAACCATTGCTCTGGTTAATAAAGCATTGTTCTGGTTGATAAAGCATTGTTCTGGTTAATAAACCATTGTGCTGGTTGATAAACCATTGTTTTGGTTAATAAACCATTGTGCTGGTAGATAAACCATTGTTTTGGTTAATAAACCATTGTGCTGGTTGATAAACCATTGTTCTGGTTAATAAAGCATTGTGCTGGTTGATAAACCATTGTTCTGGTTAATAAAGCATTGTGCTGGTTGATAAACCATTTTTCTGGTTAATAAAGCATTGTTCTGGTTGATAAACCATTGTTTTGGGTAATAAAGCATTGTTCTGATTGATAAACCATTGTTCCGGTTGATAAACCATTGTTCTGGTTGATAAACTATTGTTCTGGTTAATAAACCATTGTTCTGCTTGATATATTTTATTTTCCGATTCTGTCCTTTTTTTGACATCACATACTTTATATGGCGCTCTTGTCATGACTAGATACTATAGATATTAAATGACCAATGGTAAAGCTTTTCTTTAAAAATAAAGAAAATATAAGTTCAGATTATATATACAATGTCCATTATTTAAAAAAGTACAAAATAATACGCACCAATTACAGAAGCCAATATCAGAAAAACAGTTAATAAATCAAAAATATCAAAACCATCTTCATCATGCTCATCAGCCGGCAATATATCAACACCATCTCCATCAGGCGACCATAAATCTAGTTCCGGACCTGCAACAAAAGGTAACAAGTATATCTAAATATCGCGATTTTGTGTAACTTATTGTGGAGTTGCAGAAATTGAGGAATGGAAAAATGTCTTAGAAAGATAAAGTCAAAACATTCTAGTGTTCCGTCGTATACTTCTTTTGCACTCGACATGCCACATTTTATTACTAGAATGAACATTTACTCACCTACTTGTTTTTTAATTTTGACCCTTTGCCATTAGTTTAAAGAATTTTTATTTCAATTTGTACAATATAATTTTTTCTCAGTAAGCATATACAAACACACTGATAGATTTCGTGGATTGGTGTGACTTATGTAAATTCCTTTCCACACAGCTTCCACTAGGCACTAGCTTGCAATAGAAAAATGTGGATTCATCTATATTTGAGGCCTTTGCCATAAAATGAGGCTTAACAACTATTTTTTATGCTTTTTCACCACAAGAAATTTTTTAGTAATATCAAAAAGGCGAGTTGGCTTTATTCGATAAAAATTATATACTTACACATAATGTAAGGGAAAAACCCAAAGCTTTTGTCCGAAACAAGCGACTTTTCTGACACTTTGCAATATATCGGCAACAAATTCGTTTCCATACAATCAAGAATTGATATGTTAGCTGAGGATCCATTGATTGATGAAAAGTAACCAACGTTTCTCCCTTGCCAATCGTTTTCGGATGGAATGATCCATTCAGTCGTTAAATTGGCTGCTACAGCAGGTTTATAGAAAAGTGGAGCGGCGAAATCAGAAGTACCCTCACAAGTTAGAGTGCCTGATATTCCATTTCCGAAAACTTCCCACGTGGTATTTATGATTTCCGGCGCCTTTGGTTTTCCTGTAAATAAACGACGAAATAATAGTATGCATTTTGTTGTCAACAATAATTATTATTTGAATTTCACTTGACGCAGAATCGTGATTTTTACCACCGTTGAGGTCTGATGGGCCGTTTACCTGTTTAAACTTCTGCTAATGTTATTCTGTGATTCGTAGTTTTAAAAGTATTAAATCGTTTGTTTGTCCCGTCATAATGTATTGCTGTCTATAATAGGTTCTTCCACCCTATGGAGTTAGGGGCCAGTCAAGTCAAGGTCATCAGTGCTAAAAATAGATTTTCTTTTACACTTTTACCCATACAGCCTCCATTATTGACAGATGTCATATTTGGTGGGAAGATGACTTGTATTATTCCATCAGTTATGCGAACCCTCTCTATTCCTCCCTTTTATGAAGGGCAGGAAAATTAGAGCAACATTGGAAAATAATGGGACGACTCGGCGTGTATTAAGTAATAGAAAGAGCATCGAAACACGAGGCTATCTGATTTACAAGAACGAGGGGGCGTAGCTCCCGAGTATTAATCAGATTGCCGAGTGTTTTGATGTTCTTTCTGTTTTGTATCATAGTCAAACATGAAAACACGTTCCCTGTTGTCACAATATGAAACTCCGGAAAAAAGGAATCAATGAACGAACATCTGAATAATTATGATATTTCTGTCGCTTTCCCTTTCTCTGCAGTCACAATATGTAAACCCCAACAAAAATGAGCCAATCAATGTACATGTTCTGGTGTGCGGGTAACTAATTCTTGCACTCCAGTTAACGCGCTGTGCATGTATATGTATACGATTTAACTCTGACACAATTTCAACAGAAAGGTCCCCAAACTATGATACAATTTTGCAATATACAGTGGTTATACACCTAGATTACAAGTCCAATCAGATTGATACTCGGGGGCTACGCCCCCTCGTACAAATCAGATAGCCTTGTGTTTCGATGCTTTTTCTATTACTTGTATACAGTAAATTTACACATCTAATTTATAATATTTTTTGTTTTGCAATGTTTACAGCTTTAATGTATGAACAATTTTACCCTTATTCCCCCATATCATTTATACAACCCAGCAAACATTTTATATCGGTCCAATATCGGCCCAATATCAGTTGTTATGTCGGCCCGATATCGATTTCTTATATCGGACAGATGTCGGATGTGCAACCCGGCTACAAGTCGGGCCGATATCGGCTGTATATCGTTAGATCGATTTGAAGCCGGTGTCATACCGACATAAATTAACCTTTAATTTTTCTTCTAATAAAACATTTTACTTTGATTTTTTCATTCCAATTAACAAAAAAACACAATTGAGCTTAAATATAAGCTTTTTATTTTCATTTGGCAAATATACATGTATATCATAGAATCAATATTTTTTTTTTAACAAATGTATGTTAATTGTGTAAAGCAGTTAACATCACAGTCAAAAGAGAATTTAACAAAGATTGGAAACAAGAGCTGTCGGAAGGACAGCAACGCTCGACTATTCTAGTGCTTGATAGTAAAAAATAATGCTTGATAGAGTTACCTACTCCTGTTTACAGGTTGGTTGAACAAGTATGCAAAGTTTCAAAGCCATATGCCAATGGACTTTGAAAATATTTGAGGTATTACAAAAAAATTTAACGTAAATTCTAAGTCGAAAAAGGGGCATAATTCTGTCAAAATGCTTGATAAGAGTTACCTCCTCCTGTCTACAGGTTGGTGTCATGATCGTGAACAAGTGTGCAAAGTTTCAAAGCCATATGTCAATGGACTTTGAAAATATTTGAACTATTACAAAAACTTTAACGTAAATTCTAAGTCGAAAAAGGGGCATAATTCTGTCAAAATGTTTGATACCGTTACCTCCTCCTGTCTACAGGTGGGGGTCATGATGATGAACAAGTGTGCAAAGTTTCAAAGCCATATGTCAATGGACTTTGAAAATATTTGAGGTATTACAAAAACTTTAACATAAATTCCAAGTTGAAAAAGGGGCATAATTCTGTCAAATGCTTAATAGAGTTACCTCCTCCTGTCTACAGGTTGGGGTCATGATGGTGAACAAGTGTGCAAAGTTTCAAAGCCATATGTCAATGGACTTTGAAAATATTTGAACTATTACAAAAACTTTAACATAAGTGGTTACGCCGACGCGGACGCCGACGCTCGGGTGACTACAATAGCTCTACTTATTCTTATCGATTAGTCGAGCTAAAAATATAGTTGTATTTTTAAAGGACAATGGTACTGTAAACTAGTATTTGTTGCTTTATCAAAATTAAATTGTTTATCGCAGACTGCAAATAAAACCCAATAACATAACAGCAAACAATCCATTTTTCATTGTTTTGATATAAATATTTGAGAAGTATGTGAGAAAAAGTGCACAACACCCCCCCCCAAAAACAAACAAACAATATTAGTCTTCAATCTATGTTATTTAATGTTGTAAATAAGAAAATAAATTGTCATGGTTACTGAATCTTTATAATGAAGACATAAAATTTAAGAAATCAAAATTTTAAAGAATATAATAGATTCACTCTTGAGAAAGTTCCCCACTGATGACATTATATCATTTTATCATACTATAACTAATATTCAGATTCCCACATTAAATAATATTTTTTTGACTTTTACATTAGATTGCATTAATTGGTAAACAACTCCTTATGGCCATCTTCAATTGTTATTTCTGTTGATAAATAATATATATATTGTACAAACATCACTGTTAATTCTTTTATCATGCTTCCATTTCTAAACAAATATACATCTTCACTTTAAATAAAAACATACCTGACTAAAAAAAGATATAAAAGACTAGTAATAATTCAATTTAGTTCTGCTTCCTTGGTAAAACATTATAAACAAACAAATTAAAAATGCCAATAATAAAACTTAATATGTTCAAAAGCTATGATTTCAATTCCATTTAAAAACTGAGAATGAATCTACAACATTGCACCAATGCATATGTATGGGTGTTTTTTTTTCTCTATACTTCAGCTATTATGCAATAATAGAAAAAAATAAATATCAGCAATTATGCAGAATTATTAAAGAAAATAAATGTAAGAATAAAACAATGTAAAAAACAATGCAAAAAATAAAGACTAGACTTGACTATACATTTGGCAAGGCATGGTAATAAAATGGATTTATAATATTTTTACAAAGCATAAAACAAAAAAACAACCTATAATACCGAATCAAAAACAATAATTCAGCATGCCCATTCACGCACTACAGTGCGTAATTCACGCACAAATTTCTAGATGCACGCATAAATATTGTAAGCAGGGGGTACATGCACGCAAAGTAAAATCGTCAGAATGAATGTTTGGGATAGTCTAATATGCATATCAACTAAATGTCGTTGCCGTCTACCAATGGTTAGGAACAGTCTAAACCCAGTCACAATTGCATACATGTCTGCTTTCAAAGTCATCTCAGTCTGATTCGTAAATATTTTAGTCATGGTTTGACGTCACATGTACTGTCTTAAGAAAAAAAGTTTTGGATATTTACAACTGCCAAAAAGTGTTTGGAGTTCTCCAATGATAGGATAAATTAAGTCACTTGATTTTTTAACAACTACCTTCAATTGTGAGATTTATGCATTTCATATGAAATGAAAATATAAACAATTGAGAATTTGAAATAAATGTACATAAGTTCGGATATACAAAATTTTGGTTATGGGTAATAATTGTATGGACTAAACAAAATACCAGTGATTGTAATGGCTGTTATATTGCTTCCTAAAGTGATTAGTTTGTGTAATACTAAGTGAAACACCTGTTCATTAATATCATTATGACTAAAATGTTCTTACAAACAAAAACATGTTTAAACTTATGTGTACCCCCAGATTTTGAAATGTACCCCCAATTTTCAATGACAGGGGGTACATGTACCCTACATTTGAAATTGAGTGGGCATGCTGTAATTGAATTATAGTTTTACAAATCGCAGGATTTAGTATTATAATTGTAAAAATTATTTGATTATCATGAAGCTATGACCATAATCTCAATATTTGATATGTGCGATTGAAATACTGAATGAGTAAAAACAATAACAATATGTACATCTTATGTAAATCTAACACTCCTTAAGATTTTGTTTCTATAACAAAGAAGGATTTTAACGGCATAAACTTCCAATAAGCACTGATTATGGACTACACAAATATGCTGCTGTTTTTTGTTCTCCCTCAATAAAATAGTTTTCAAATTCTTTTTACGGCAAAAATAATAACGCACTTTTTCTGATGTTTTCAGTTCACTTTTTTCCTTCTTTTCATATGATGCTAAAGTAACATCTCACATTCACCGACCCAACAGATTGATATAAGTTTTATAAGACAAATTGACGCGAACTCGTAAGCACCATAAAAACGTCATCCCAAGTATGCAGCTTGTTTATACAAGTGCCAGAATGGCGTCACTTTAAACTTAACTGGTCAGGGGCTGAAGAATCATTAATCCAGCAACGATGTAAACACAATATATATAATCCTGCCTGACACACAAGCTTAAACTGATTTTAAATAGCCGATGAACAACACAGAAACTGATATTGTTTCTTAAATATATCTCAATAATGTTTAGTTTAACTATATCACTATTTATGTATGATTTATTCTTCTTAGGCTATATGCTCTTGAACTATTAGGCTAGAATGATACAAGTCCTTTACATTACTTCCAATTTAAAAGAGCCATCTTTTTTCTTTCAATATCGCTATAAATATATAAAAAAGTTCTATTCAGTGGGTGTTTCTTGGACACCTTCATTGGTTTTTTGTCTTCTTTTACGGCCTGTCTCTTTCTCTGTCACATGCACTGCGAAACCATTCTCTACAATCTAATTCGACTTCAGCTGCTGTACATTTTTTTTACATTTCATGACTGCTTCTGTAAGTATAATTAAAAAAGAAAATAAGATCTACCTACTTACTTTTGTTCTGGCAGAACTTTATAGACACATGTAGTGGTAGACTATATATACTCCTTAAATTTTTGTGATATACTTAATTAAAATATTAACTTCTCCATACATTCAAGTGTTCTAAACTGAATATTATGCTTTTATCAATTAACACATCAAGTAAAGGTATACATCATAAAAAATATTAACTTTATCCAAAACTTATATAATATTCTAACACAACCCGCATTTTCCTCTATTAAACACAGAAGGACCTGAAGTGTGTTATTTAATATTATGCAATAAAATCATTGTATTTAAACATGTGACGAAACCATTTACAGATATGTGACATTAGCATTTAAAAATGTGAGGCGCTGAAAATGAGTATGGAAACAAATCAGACGCAGTGTACCTTAATACTAGGTACGGCAGTATTTATCTGTTGTTGTTAGAATCGAAATAATATATCCAAAAAAGTGATTTCACTGCATTATGAAATCACTATGATATTCGAATACAATCATTATATCAATCAGGCTACTTCCTCCTGATATAATTCCTCGCATTTGAACTCCAAACATTTAATTAAGCAATAAAATCAGTTTGGGATATATTATTTTTTATGAAATATCCTTTTCTATGCAGAGGTGAGAACATAGTGATATATTTTCTTCTTTTTAATCGAATATCTAAGTCAAATATGCCATAAAATTTTAAATGAAAATAAAATAATTACTTTGCACTGCCTTGGCCAGCTTCAGTTTCCCAAACGCTCTCTTCCCTTTCTTGCCAAACCAGTTGAACTGAAGTGCCAACTGATTTGACATGCAGTGTTTCATGACTCTTTTTGACATATCGCTTCTTGTGATACCTCCTTGCACTGCAGTGTCAGGTATGTGACCTGAAATATATGATTTTTGTTCTAAACACATTTCTAACATTTCAAAAAAGCATTTGACACATAATTCACAGGAGTGTAATAAGGCCATTTATATCATGCTTTTCCAGTGTTTCACTGTAATAGATAATATTTTTGATAAACCAATACTGAAATTTATAATATATCATTTTCACTGTAGCCAGACTATATCTGAATGCAGATGAAAAGAATATAACTAAATGGAATAACAGGCCCAATAAAATGCCGTCATACTTAAATGTTCTTTCTTTAAGAAAAGAAAGTCGATGTCATCATTTATCATGTTAAAAGTGTAACAAAATTGGAGGATTTAACAGGATTATATTTCAAAATTGATGATGTGACATGATGTTATGACTTCATAAAGGAGAATGCGCGACGTCAGACAGCAAATCAGTAAAAAATATTTAAAATCACGAAAAAAGCATGAAATAAAAAGAAAATTTCTTTGTTTTACATATAAGATTGAAATATATTTCATTCGTGAACACCAGGTATTTTATTTTCATTCGTTGCAATGCAAGTCATGAAATTAATATTGCATTTGGTGTTCGCTCAGTGAAATATTTATCAATCTTACATGCAAAACAAACAGATATTCTCTATTTAAGAAATACTATATTACACTAGTTATAATATAATGTCTACATATTACACTAGAGTAATAATATAATGTCTTTTGTGTGTTACAAACAAAAGCACACTAATGACAGGCCAAAAACTTTTAAGAACAGTATGACGGACAGAAAACTAGTGTGCAAAATTTTAGTGACATAAAAAAAGTTTAGCAAAAACACTAATAAATTCATTTCGTGCAAAGATAAAATTAACATCTTTCTAACTAATAAAAATAAATTTACCAAGCCATTGAAACAACCAGGTTCTTGTAAACCTGTCTCAACCAACTCCAGTTCTTCAATGCTTGTAACTGGTAAATGAATATCATCAGGCAATTCAGTTGGTCCACCACCATCTTGACTTTCCAACTTTGACACAACGCCAAATACCTGATGAAACAGTGTCCAATATTTGTGTGTGTTTGTCGAGACACATTTTTTCTAATAGGGTAAAAAATGCGGATATCTCGTGCTAAAATACAAAAATATTATTTAATGAGAAACATAACTTTCAATATAATTACTGAAGTAAAAAAAAAAAGGAATATTATTTTTAATTAAATCATCCTGCAGTGTCCAGACCAAGTGAAACATCCTTAAATGAAGAGGACATGGGAACAAACTGCTATTAAATTTAGAAGTTTGATTTCTTAACAAGAACATCAAAAGAAAATGCCATGATCTTTTTAAACCCTAAACCGACAATATTTAACCAAATAAAAAACATTATACACAGAATGAACCAATAATTTGAATAATTTCATTTAATACTGACATCTTACGTCTCCCAAGTTCTTCAAGTGGAAGGAAATAACACAATACAACCATTCAGACATTAAAAAAAGCACATCTTTTATCAATTAAAGACCAATTATTGTTTAAAATCATTTAAGAGTATACCTATAAATCAATTAATGGCAAAGTCTTGCTTAAACTTAGAAACAAATTATTTCTTATTTATGTCAACAAGTTGCTAAGGTCCTATAGGTTTAAAAGAAATTATTACCAAACCAATTTAACGTGATCGCGAAATTGTATGACTATAAAATCAAAGCCATCTTGTCCATATATTTTGTATTTTATTTTTCAAAATTTCAATAGCACTCAACCAGTATATCAATTATGTTAATGATATTTTATCAAAAAGGTATTAGAAAATGCTAAATTACCCAGCGATTGTAAATATACGAACTTTTTGTCCCTTGTTGAGTTTTGCGCCAAATGTAAGCGTGCCCGGATGTACGGTGCGTAGGTAACTATTTACCATTGTGCAAATTACGATAAATATCCGTTCAATGGTTAAACGCGTTAAAATTCGGATTTTTTTTCCCGGTTTCATGGTCCTGTATGCTAAAAAACGTTACCATGATAAAACTTAAATCATGTCAAACGAATATAAATCGGACCGATGTCGGACCTATATCTGTGAAATATGTCAATATCGGATAGACATCGGTCCGATATATGGTAGCCGACACAGATATTCCATCATATAGCCGATATCGGCCCGATATAGGTATGTTTGCTGGGAAGTAGCATACTATCGGCTTATTATGCTGGCTGATTTATGTCCTCGACGAGCTGATTAATGCCCTCGACGAAATTAAGACAAAGTTACCACTTTGTCATCGTAGGATACCAACGACCGAACCCAATCGGAACATCCTCTGCTATTATCTATAATAACCTCGGAAACAAAACGAATTGAAAGTAGTTCTACCACGTGGTTTCAGATGTAAACATTAACAGAGATAATGTAAAACGAATGTATATATTTGACATCTAATTTCTGTTCCGGTACTCTTATGCTTGAAAATATCTCTGACAACAACTTGTTATTTAAATATGCCCACTAATTTTCAATTTTAAACTAATCCGACTTAAAATCAACATGTTGGTTTTTTGTACTTTCGGTATTCATACTATTGTGTTCGAGGTCCTTATCCGAAGACTGACGGAAAGTGCCGAGTAGTTGCGATTGCGACCGAACCATTGAATTTATCCGATTATTACCGATTATGTGTAAAACAACCGTTACTATCCGACGATGCGACTATGTCTTTGTTTTCTTTTTTTTTTGCGTGTTTTCGCCTGGCGCCCGGCAGAGCGACAGTACCACAAAGTATGTAAAGAACGACAACTATGTTTGGGGACCTTGCATTGTTACTTATGAACGATAGCTATGTTATGAGAGTGTTATTGCTATTTACAAACGACAATTAACCCTGCTTTAAGCGTGTAGATGTTAATTCAAACTACAACACTACTTTGAAAGTTAAATTGCCGTTTATCTACGAACGACAACCCTCTTTTGTCTCTGTTTGTGCATGTAATTTTTATCAATTCAAGAACGACAACTCTGCTTGAAGATTACGAACGACGAATCTTCTTAGCGATTGTAATAAGTGGGCACGCAGAAAAATGCTAAGAGATTGAATAGAAAAATTCGAAATTCATTAGGAAAAAGTCCATATATTTGAAAAATGACAGACCATGTTATTTTTACGAGCTGTTGCAACAGAATCTACAACTAAAAAAAAAACAAAAAAAAAACAACACTTTTACTAAAAAGAAAAAAAAACAAAAAACAAGTTTACTTAGAACCACAACAGTTATGCCGTCTCGCATAGTGGTGCCATCATCAATGGTGTATTCACAGACATATGTCCCGTTTCTTTGTCTTTGTAAGTTTAGAATTTTTGCGGAGAAGTTGTTTTGATGAACATTTCCGTTGAAAGTAACGTCATTATCATGGTACGTCACGTTGTTTTCTTGATCGACTTCAAGTAGTGTGACGTTAGACTGGAGTAGGTATAATCTTATGTTACTTGCCAAACCATTTTGTAACTTGAAATACAACACAGGACTGGAACCAGGCAAGAAAACACTTGTGGTATGACTATCTAGGACTGAAAAATACAAAACGACAAGTGATTTCAAAATAAACAAAAAGAAATGTACTTATAGAACAGTGGCGCAAAGGTATTTTTGATTCGCAGAATAAGCAAGCCAAAGGATCATAGTTAGATTGACAGAAATTGAAATTGAAAGATTAAAAATCTAATGCACAAGTTATTTTGAGTACGGGCAATACTGAATATAGAAAATTGACCGCTTTCTTACGGAATACCGTGAGGGCCATAGTGGTTATACTTTATCATCCAGAGGGCGACAATGCAACAGTGCGATGACGACAGTATAAACCGCGAATTCGACAGCACGAAAATGCGATAGTGCGATGGGGACAATGCGATAACATGATGACGACAGTGCGATAACGCGATGGCGAAAATGCGATACAATACTATCGCGTTGTCGGAATTGCGGTATCGTACTGTCGCCATCGCGGTATCGCACTGTCGTCAATGCGATATTGCACTGTCGCATTATCGTACTGTCGTCATCGCGATACCGCACTGTCGCCATCACACTATCACACTGTTATTTTCTTTCTTTTTTTGTATACTGAAAACGTCTAAATAAAAGTAACATTTTATATCCAAAGATAGGGGAAATACTCGAAGAGTTATTTAGTAATATATAACATACTCGGAAAATGTAATTAATTGTGTGAAACATTAAAAAATGTCGAAAGATTTCAGATGAAAATTATGTTATGTTGACATTTAAAAGATGCAAAAAGTAATTAATTGTCAATAGTACATAAAGGTATTCAAATTTTCTTTTCGATAAATGCAGGATTTATCTTTATCGAGTGGTATGAAAATAAATATTTCATGAGTTGCGGTATAATTTTATACATTTTTCTCTTTCTGACATTACAATTTGAAAGACTTGCCCTAAAATGTTGGATATTGGCTGAAGTTAGAAGAAAGAAGTCCGGCAAGACGCAAATGAAAATATGGAAAATATGTTTCACTGCAATGAAGAATAAATTTTTAAAGTGAAAAGGAAAATAAACTCACTTAAGTAATTTCTTTTAGAGTTTTAATTGGTCATCAGTGGTTTTATTGTTTTGTAAGCTGTAGATTTTTTTTGTATTTACTAACATTGAAAAAAAAAGAAACTTACGTCTAGACATAATTGTCTCTATATCTCTAATTTAAATGGTCAGCAATTTTCACTATAAGTTAAACTGGACAACAAATTCTACTATATGTTTAACTGGTCAGCAGATTCTACTATACGTTTAACTGGTCAGCAGTTTTTCGCATGACGTACATTACGTTAAATCTGCCGACGAAGAAAATACGGCAAAAAACACTTAAGCTATTTCTTTTATATTTCAGTTGAACAGCAGTGGTTTTATTGGTTTGCGAGATGTAGAATATGTTATATTTACTAACATTACAATATAAATAAAAAAAATCACGGCAGAATTTAATATTAGTAATCTTTTCATTTTGTATTTTAAACAGACTGTTCAAATTTATATAATCATCATTATCATTTTTCCACAACAAAATCTTATATTTGTTTCAATTATTTTTACATTTTTGCATCTTTTAAATGTCGACATAACATCATTTTCATCTGAAATCTTTCGACTATATTAAAGTTTTACACATTTGATTACATTTTCCAATTTTTCCGTGTATATTTAACTCTAGGTATTTCCCCTATCTTTAAATATAAAATGTTACTGTACTTTCTCTGTACTACGAGACCAATGACTTGTGCCGGAGATATATCAAACCCACAGTGTATGGGTATTTAGCGGGGAACTTTATTGGTCTTTACAAAGAGTTTAACAAATAATAAAGTTTCCTTTTAAAAGGAAAGGCTTGCACAGTTGTGCCTTCATCCCAACCCTTTAAAATTGTGTGGTTTTTTGGTTTCAATTTATTATCACAATTTTTTAATTACGGTATTTGTATACCATAAAGGGTTTATTTGGTTGGGTTTTTTTTTTTTGGAAAACCGAATATTTTTTGTCAAAACGATTTGAAATCTATTCTCTATTGTATAAAACTAATTAAGAAAATGATCAATCGTAAAAATACTAACGTGATACTGAAGGAAAACAAGTGTGCACATTTCATATCCCCTTTTTCGCAGCGAAATCATTCCTTTGCTTTATAGACAAGTAAATGCACTAAAATACTTCGTTACGTGGTACCAATTAATAAGCATGTATCAACTATGTTACACGATCACAAATAAACTCCTCACAGCTGTTACGTCACGCTTTGCTACTTTAACTGTACAGACCAGGGGAAGTAACCGCTGCGAGTTTGGATCAGCACGTGGCAAGGTTAATGATATGCATGGGCTATTTTTAGATTACCTCACCAAGAAGTTCAGTAGATCTAAATATAACTCGATCATGGTAAGCAGGACCCCCTTTGAAGACGGATACTACTACACAACTAATACAGACAAAAAACAATTATAAAAGAAACTAACTTTTGCGTCTTGAAAAAACAATTGAAACGGAACAATTTCGTTTATAATTTATTACGGTTTTAAACCGATAAATCAAGTAAAAATAGAAATCCTATTTATATAAACAAAACTGGGATTACCGAAGTAACTAAAATAGCTTAGATTTCCGTAATATTACTTCGTCTAATTCCGCAGTATGACGGAATCGCCCGAATTGTCACGATTGCAATCGGAACTACATCGGCTATTATCATTAATCCGAAGAGTGACGGAAAAGGCCGAAAAGTTGCGATTGGCACGATTTCAGCTGGTTTCCCGTTCAATCATGCACCAACAGATGTAAGCAGGAAACCACCTAACCGGAACAAGTTTTCCATATGAAATGGCTTGCAGCCGTGGCTGCAAGCCAAAAAGGATCAAAACCCCCCACTATTCTCAGTGCTTGTGGGTCGGGAATATACAATAATTTACTTGTGCATTAGAAAAAAAACCCAAACAAAACAGATTTTATTCAAAATTAATTTTACAATGAAATAAAATCTGTAAATATTGCGGCGGGGCCGAGTGGTTAACGTGTCGGACTGGTAATGTAAGGATTGCAGGCCGCATGGGTTCAAACACCGTCAGATGAGCAAGAAACTTTACACTCATTGCTTAGTACTGGTTCTAGGAACGGATTCGAGAGTGTTTCAATGAGCTTATAGCTTCTTAAACAATCGAACTAAAATAAATTAGTATAAACTAATCTGCATAAAAGTAATGACCCCTTACCAGTTATTTTCAATTCTCTTTTTCTGACATAGTAACCACATTCGAAAGTATCGTTTGCATAGTCTTGGTAGAAATTTACCATATATCGTCAATTATAACACCTTCATATTTCCAATCTCACTGCAATTTGAGGTCAAATTGGAATTCTGTTCTACGCCATGATACCAAAACGTGAAACATGGTGGTTTCTATTCTGGCCACGTGACCAAAATTGTTCGAGAAACTGATAATAGTATCGCTTTGGGAG